TGTTTGTTGGTATTTTCTTGCCTTTCACTAAATGATTTGTTCAATTCCTTTACCTGTATTTCTTTCCGTGATTTCTTTATTTTTTTTCTCTAAAGGCCGCAATCTGTATGACTGTATCTCCTTGAATTTCTTTACAGATTTTATTCATATTCTCAGTTATATTTATAAGCATAGATTTAAGGTTATTTTCTTGTATTTCAGTTGTGTTAAGAGTATCCAGGGCTGCTTATCTTGGGATAACTGGGTTCTGGGGATGACATGTTGTTCTGGCTTTTGTTGATTGTGTTTTTACACTGTTCTTTCAGGCATCTGGTTTTCTCAGGCATTGGCTGTTAAATCCTGTTGCCTACTGGAGTTCTTGGGGATGTGGGAAGAGCCTGAGGCAGGAAGTTGGATGTTTCTGCAGGAACCCTTCTCAGACTGGAGAGAATGATCTCAGACTGGAAGGTAGCTCTTAGGGACTTTCCCGAGGCTCGCCTCAAGTATATGATCCTGGGAACCAAGTGGATTCCTCAGGTGCTTTTACCAATGAAGTCCTGGAACCAATATCTTTCTTGCTCTGAGTGAGCGCAGGCACTCTGCTCAGACACTGTGCTTTCTCTTTTTAGAGAACCTATGATCTCGGAAGTCCTGTGGGTCTCCTTAGGGAGATGGGTTGAGCCTTGAAACAGTGCCTGGGTTGCTTTTGTGAGTCCTGAGCATCAGGAGACCCAAGTTTGGAGCTGCTTGCCCAGGACAGTGAGAGTGGGCACCCAAGTTTGGAGCCACACCTTCTCAGTACGAGAAGGTATCCAGGGGACAGTGGGAGTGGGCTCCCGAGGTTGGAGCCATGAGCTGATTGTACCTGGAAGGTATCCACACACTGTGGGACTGGGCAGGTGCCTAGGGCTGCTGCTATGCCAGGTGGGAGCTGGGAACTTTTCCTGTGATTAGCCGGGTGACTTGAAGTTGGACCTTTGCATTTCCCTGTGGGCTCTCCTCTCACCTGAGAAGCACAGATGTCAGGGTGTTGGGGTCCAGAGTACAGCTTGTTGGGTCGCTCTGCTCTTACTGCCGAGCTGCTGTTCAGATATGGTGCATGAGTGGCGCCACCATCTTGGATCTCTGGAAAGACACTTCGTACATTCTCTGCATAATAATTTTTTTCAAGTAGGGAATGTGAAGTCTTCATTATACAGTGAGTAAAAAAGGTAAAACGATTTATAGACTACTTTAAATAATTGCAAAGTCAAGTAAATACTTGACTATTATGATTATTAGAGATTATGTAGGTGAGGCAAAGTGGTATAAGAATTTATAGACCTTGCTTTACATTTTGGATGAACTTAAACTCAGGGAAGTTTAGTGTTTATGGGTGTCAGAAGACAAGGGAATATTTCCATGGTTCTACTCATAAGTGATAATGAAAATGTTCATTATGATGACATCTCTACCTTGACACATTTTACATTTAAAATTTAGCTGGAAACTTTACTTACCCTATGGAAACCACAAATGGTGGTAGTGATTTGTAGAGAAGATAGCATCTGAATACAAACTATTTGATGCTCAACCAGAGGGAATCAATGATGTGTTCCAATGCTGAAGACCTACTGAAAAACACTGTCCTATTTTCGACATGATTATTTGTAACAAGAATGGAACAAATATAGAAGGCATTCATGCCATAAAGAATGTAGAGGAAACAAAGGTAGTTTAGCATGGTGTTCTAGTTTTATTCTAGTGCTGCGACAAAGACCATGACCAAAAGCAAAGTAGTGGAGGAAAGGTTATGTCTGCTTTATACTTCCAGGTCACAGTCCATTATTGAGAAAAGTTAGGGCAGGAACTTGAAGCAGAAAACATGGAGGAATGTTCTTTGTTTGCCCTGTGGCTCACTTGCTCATACTTGTTATATAGTTGAAGACCACCTGGATGAGGAATGGTGTCAACACAATTGGATGGGCCCTCATACATCAACTCTCATACTGACAACCAGGGTAGCTCTCCCCACACCCATGAACACAGGCCAATCTGATCTAGACACCTCTCAGTCAAGGCTTTTCTCTAAGATGACTCTAGGTTGTATCAAGGTGACAGAGGTGACAAGGGCACACAGCGTCAGGTCACTGACTGGGATATATTAGCAAAGTGTGAAAATTGTTGCCCTTATTTATGGTTCGCATTCAGTTGGAGCTGTGGGTGCGTTAGTTCAGTTCTTCCAGAAGCTAAGGATACAGTGTTGCTACACGTTACAGTTAAGGAACCAAATGAAGCGCATAATGTAAAGTGGCTAAATAAGTGGCAGAGTCATTTAATCTGCCAAATCTGTCTTCAGGATCTGTGCACTTAACACCTCACTAATACTTCTGAAATTATCACAGACTTAATGGATGGGAAACAGATTTTCAAATCTCTGTTACTAGCTACAACGTATTGTTAGAAAAGACTCTTGGTCGTTCTTGGCTCTTGAGCTACACTTAAAGACAGCCACCTATATGTTGGAGAGGAATTAAGGTAGGATAAATGTTAGGGTGGTCATATGATTTATTATGTAAACTGTGACCCTTTTGAAAGCTAAGGAGCTCTTAATAACCGTCAGGGAAACAGATACAAATTAGACTGTCTGTGGGAGTTATAGCTAGGGTAACATCGGTCATCCTCACGAGTTTTGTTGCAGTCTCAAAGACTGACTATCTCCTGACACAACTGCATGTCCCTATCTACATTGCGTGTTAATTTATGCATGCAACTGTGTGTGATTGTTTTCACACACCTATGTATCTCTATTTTATTGGCATTTTGTGGATAATCTTGATTGTTTTTCATAGTTGCCTTATCCATTATGATAGACTTTAACCTACCCTCTCCAAATTGTCATTTTATATAAATAATTATTTTCAAATAGATTGTAAGGATTAAGAACCCATTGAAACTTTTTTGATTGATTTGTTTTATGTGCATGAATATTTTGACTCTATTAAGTACGCTGCATGCAGACAGTGCCCACAGAGACCAGAAGAAGGCATCTGGAACCCTAGAACTGGAGTTACAGATGGCCGTGGCCTGCCGTGGAGGTGCTGGGAACCCACAGTGGGAACGTAACGGGAGCTGCACTGTTTAACTTGGAGCTATCTCTTCATCCCCAAACTTACTTTAGAGCACAGGTTCTGTATGGTAACTTTTTAGTTTTTGGACAGTTTTTTCTATAAATGTGAAAGGGACTGTTTTAAAATTATAAGCAGATGAATGTATTTTACTATGTAAATTCACCAAAGTTCTTGAACTCACATGTGGTAGGTATACAGGGGATTATCCCGGAAACGAAGCGAGCTACGATAGCATTAAATCATGATGTGATAATATCTGGGGAGTAGTGTCCAGAACAGGACATTATTTTGTGATTAGGGAAAGGGATTTTTGACCTGAAAAATGAATGACAAACTAAGGCTTTCGGTGGGAATAAAAGCTGGAAGACCCTTATTACTAAGGCCCAACAATTAAGGAAGGGAGGGAGGGGAAGAGAATGGGATGGGAGAGGGAGTGGAGAGAAGGGCGGAATGTCCAGGCAGAAGAGGCAGTGAAAGCCTAGCCACGGGGTGGCTTCTATACAAGGCTCACCTGACGGTCAGTCTTCAGCACTGTAAACCTAGACCGTCCTCACAAGAGAACATCTGCAGATCTGGCAGGACTTTCACCTTACCTGTTTTTCCTTACACAGTTGGATCAGGGCAGGTGTGGGGTGAATGGGGCGACAGACAGTTTCCTCTATTAGCCAGAGCCTGATACCAGATCTGTGTTGGATAACAATACAACCTGGTCTCTCATCACCATTGCATGTGGGGTGGCGAACAGGTGAAATAAGGAGGAAAGCGTCAAGATCTAGTTTTCATTTTCTTGACATCTTTATTTCCTGTGACTCTTCATGGAATGGCCTTCTGAGTGCCTTTGTAATGGGTGAGCACTCTGTGTTGGCTGATTACCCTTGCTTCAGATGCACAAACTATTCAAGGTGTTGCTTCCCAAACAATAGCACTTTTTGGGAAAGAAGGGGTTTGTAAACATTGAAATATGGCATTTTAAATTTTGCTGAATTGCCAGAGATAAAAGGAAACAGAAATGGCTTATCTCAAATTTCCTATTACCATCCCTGTGGGCCAATCAAATGAAGCACAGATAATAACTAGTCTTTTGATACAGGTTTATTTATGCAAGATGTAATAAATACACAAAGAAATCACTGTTTTCTTCATGAGAGATAATCTTACACCCAAGGTATCTTTCCTCGCTGTGATGAGGACTCTTCCTGTACCTAGGCTTGTGCAACGCCAAGTGTCAACCTCCATAGAAATTAAAAAGTCTTTTTAGTGTTTTGTCTGCCTGTACCGAAGTGCCTCACAGGTGCAGTGCCTGTGGAGGCCAGAAGAGGGCGGAGGAGCTCCTGGAAATGGAGCAAGGGCTCGTTGGGACCCTCCATGTGGGTTCCTCTCCGAACTTAGGTCCTTTTCAGGAAGCAGTGAGCACCCTACGACTCGTCAGCCCCATTTTAAATATAAAGACAATAATCAACGAAAAACACTGAATATTTTTTAAAAATCTATCTCTTTCTCTCTCTCTCTCTCTCTCTCTCTCTCTCTCTCTTTCTTCTTCGAGACAGGGTTTCTTTGTGTAGCCTTTGCTGTCCTGGACTCGCTTTGCACACCAGGCCGGCCTCGAACTCACACATCCCCCTGCCTCTACCCCTCCGGGTGCTGGGACTGCAGGTGCGTTCCACCGCGTCCGGCTGAAGGTTAATTTTAAGAGCAATTTTCCCCCTTTGTCTTTTCGTTCTGAGTTTCGGATCAGCTTCTTTCGTCCTGGCGCACGCTCACAGGGAGTCGGGCAACAGACCGTGAGGTCTACACTTCTGGAACGTGCGGTTTGCTGGGCGTTTTCAAGAGTCCTGGTGAGGAAGGGTGCTCCGACTCACGACCGTCGTGACCGGGGTTTCCTGACGGCTTCCTCGCTTTACGGCAGCAGCGATGGCGGCGTTCGGTGTCAGGTTTGAAAGCGCCAGCCGTATCGAAGAGCGGAAGGAACAGACGCGGGTGGCCCGGGCCGAGGTGTTGCGGCAGGTAAGCCGGGGCTTGTGCTGAGGGCCGCCCGCGCGCGGCGGCCACTCCCGGAGAAGCGGTGTCTGCAGGCAGCCTCGTCTGCCGCGTCCGCGTCTCGCCTCGTCTGGAGGCGGCTGCTTTTCCCACGGTGCCGTGGCCTGCCCCACTTGCTCGTAGCCTTTCGGTCATTTATTCTGACATTTCTGCCGCCCGGATTGCTCGGCCTCTGTGCACGGCACCTCTGACGGCGCGGACCCCCGAGTCGGTGACTCCTCTGCCTGACTGTTCTTTCCAACCCCACACTTAGGCTAGCCCTTACTAATGGAAACACGGTTTAGCGTCAGAGGTTCAGAGTATGTGCCCACCCCAAAGTTTGGGAAACAGAATTCCCTTTCACATTGAAATGTGTGGAATTGATAAAAAGTGGAAGAAGTAAGTCATTGCCTTACTGACAAGTTATTGCTGCTTAATTGTGGCAGTGAGAATGGCAATTTTGGAATTGAAGAACAGGGTGGTTGGTGAGGGGTTTCTTTTGTTTAAAATTGAAAGGTAGTAAGTCTAAATGTATATGCAGAGTAGAAAAGATAGAGCAGCAGGAAAAATTTGTAATGACTTCAGTTTCATTTTAACGGGGTGAGTGAGCAGCTGCTCTTGGACAGGTACATGCTGGGATTATTTCCCGGTCTCACTGTTGTCTGGCATTTCAAGCAGTTTTTGGAGGGAACTCCTTGTAAGCTGTGACGATTTTATAGGGCTATGCATACAGTTTGATAAGGACCACACTCAGATTTGGAATGTGAGAGGTGGATATTGAACCAGAAGAAACTTCTTTCGTTGTTTGCTGTTGACTGATAACTAGAAATTACCAATATGATTCTTTCTTTTTAAGAGGATAACTTTTTTCCCCCTCAGGCAAAGTATTGGGGTAAAGATTTTGCCTGTTTTAAAGGCATGGAAAAAAGTTTAGCTTCATACTTTTGTGAAAGTTTAAAGAACTAGCCAGAAGGATGATAGAGCTTAAAGTGATTCCAAATCATATTAGTGACAGGGAGAAAGAAGGTCATAGGCTAGTCCTGGACAGAATACTGTGTGTGATTTGTACCCAAATTTACCAAAGATTGGTATTCCTGAAGAAAGCTATTAATAGGTTTTTAAAAAATCTTTTTTACAGCTACTAGAAGCAAAGTTATTGGTAAGAATAGGTCATTCATTGACTAGGAATCTTTATATGAAAGTGCTACCAATTTTTCTTTTTGTAGTAGAAAAGCAGTTGTATCAAGCATAAGTTTCTCTTTTGTATTCTTTTGTTGTAGGCCAAAGATAGTTTTGAAAAAGAACAAAGGCGTAAAGAACTGAAGCAACTTCGAGGTGAGGACACATGGATGCTGCCTGATGTCAGTGAGCGAATTGAGCAGTTCTCACAGGTAAGTATTAACGTACATGCTTAATGTAATATGACTTACTTTGTGGTTTTGGTTTTTTGAGGAAGGGTTTTTATGTAGCTTCGTTGGTCCAGAAACTGTTATGTAGGCCAGATCTGCCTGCCTTTGCTTTCCAAGTGCTAGGATCAAAGGCATTCAAGGTATGTGCTACTATGCCTGCCTTACGTCTTAAAACAAACAAAACAAAGAACAAAAACACTATTCAAGGTAATATTGAGAAACATTTTTTAACATTTATTTCTTCGTGTGTGTGTGTGTGTGTGTGTGTGTGTGTGTGTGTGTGTGTAAGAGAGAGAGAATTGGGGAGAGGGAGCAAGAGAGGGAGGACGAAGGCAGAGAAAGGGAGGAGAATGGGTATGTGTGCACATCAAGAACAACCCACCTTGTGGGTTCTGGGGCTGAACTCAGGTGGTCAGTAACATCTTCCCATCAGGTGGTGGGCACCGTTGAACTTGATCTGGCAGCACAGTGTCTGTTTTGACCACAAGTTCATCATGGTATGAGAAGACTTTATTTATATGGGCTGGTAGATCTAATTATAAATCTGTGGTCTGTCTATAGGAGGCTTCTAGATCCGGAAGTACATGTTTTATGTTTGCTTGTTTTCTATCAAGCCTTTTCTCTTTTTACAAGTTTTTAGTAGCTTGCCTTCTGTCATTTGTCCCACAACTGGTGGAGATTTTAAAAATTTATTTTTATGACAAATGTTAATTGTTTACATTTATATAATACGCTGTTATATTTTGACCTGTGTACACATAGGAGTTTATATGCACATCATCCACTCACTTTTTTGGTGAGAATATTAAAAATTTGTTTGTTTGTTTGTTTGTTTGTTTTAGAAATTTTTAAATGCTTAGTATGTGTTAGTAGCTAGTTGTATGTATGTATCTGTATATTTATTTGATAATATTGGTCACATACAAATAATTTAATGAAAACTTTCCTCAAATTTTCCTGGTAAGAAATCTGAGCTACTCCTTTGATTAGTACTGCTTATCTTATAGAAATAATGTTAAGGTTTCTTAGAGAATTTCGTATACTTGAAGTATAGATAGAGTCATAATCTTCACTTCTTTTCATGAAAGATGTAAACTTTTTTGGAGCATGGATTTTTCTTTTTATTCAGCATTTTTCCTGTTAAAATTAGATAAAATTAAATTTTCTTTACACTTGACTAAAATTATTAGGAACATTCTGTGAAGAAAAAGAAGAAAAAGGGCAAGCATTCAAAAAAAGAGAAGAAAAAGAAGAGCAAGAAACAGAAATGTGAAAAACAGAGTGAGTCGACTGACAGTTCCTCAGTAAGTGAGCCACAGGACGGGGCCTGCCGCTGTGGAGAGCAGTGGGCTTGAGGGGACAGCGGGCAGGACTGGTGGTGCAGGAGACCTCAAAGTACTGCTGGTCAAGATAGGAGATGTCCACAAGTCACACGCTTGGTGTTCCTTGGGGAATACTGCCTCTGGAGATTGATGGTTGGGTCCAGAAAATGGGATGCTGTTTACTCATCACTGTTGGTTGGAGACATGATGATAGTAAGATGTGCAGGGAAACAGAAAGGTGAACACCAGCGTTGAAGAGCTACGTGCATGCAGATGGTTGGGAAGGACTGTATTGTAGAAAAAGGGAGAATAGTTTTAAAACACTGTGGTCTGTTTTTCTTTTATATTTCTGTTTTCTTCATAGAAATTAGCATCCAATTTGTCAAAGTAGGATTTCTTTATTTATTTATCTTTTGGACCAAAAGAAGAGAGTGTTGTGTAGCTAGCTCTCGCCTGCGAGGACTCCGATGAAAGAAAGGAAGCCAAAATATTCACACCTATTTTCAAGAAGAAGGGTTATGTGTCGAGAATGGTGGCCTAGAAATGTTTAGGGTTGGTTACTTACTCAGACAAAATCGGGTTCTGTCAGCAGGAAGGAAGAGAGATGACCAAATCATAGTGACAGGAAGCTGTGAAAGATAAGTGCTGTGGTCAGGTTTTCCTGTAGCACCCAAACGTACCGTGGGTAGAGATTGGGGAAGGAAGGGGAGTGGAAAGATGGGTGTCCTAGGTAACAAGATGATCATATTTAAGACCCCTGTTTTAAGGATGGAAAGGGAGATACGTGTTGGTTAAAATTTCTTGTAGGTTATAGAAACTAAACAGTTTAGCTCATATGAAAAATTGGGAGGGACATAACATTCAGATACAAACATGTGATAAGACATTTAGGTCTAGGAATTAGCTTGATCAATAACAGTTGGAATTAGAATTGTGAGTGCTTTATAATCTTACCTGGTCTTGCATTTGTTTGTTTTATTTTGTTTTGTTGTAAATTCCACTTTTCATAAAAAGGTGGACCCTGACAATGCCTTTTCAGTTTTCCTTAGCATAGACAAAAGTGATTGTGGCATCTGTGGTCATAGAACTTACTGCTTAAACCAACTAAGGATCAGTAAGGTGAATTCTGGTTTCGTTAATTTCTATTTAATTGAAGTTTGCAGGTGGTGATTGCCATTGTCTGGGTTGGAACTGTGCTGATGGAGTGCCCAGTGGCTCAAACTAATAAACTCAAGTGGTTGGTCAGCATATGATGAGACACAAAAACTCTAATTATGGAATTCCTGTGACAGGACCCCTGGAACTGGAACTTCAAATATTTTACTTTATTGTAGACTAAAATTGTCAGTCTTCTAAAGAAAGTTGTAACTGTTTCAAGCTGTAAATCCTCATTTTAGTGCATGGCACTACCACTCCCAGGCATAGACCCAGATATGCTCAAGTACACGAGGACATTTGCTCAACCGTCTTTGTAGCAGCTTTATTCGTAATAGCCAGAACCTGGACACAACCCAGATGTCCATCAACGGAGGAATGGATATAGAAATTGTGGTATTTTACTCAGCAATTAAAAACAAGGAAATCATGAAATTTGCAGGCAAATGGTGGGATCTAGAAAAATCATTCTGATTGAAGTATCCCAGAAGGAGAAAGACACACATGGTATATACTCACTTATATAGACCTATAAGATAGGATAAACATACTAAATTCTGTACACCTAAAGAAGATAAACAAGAAAGAGGACCCGGGGTAAGATGATCAATCCTCATTTAGAAAGACAAATGGGATGGACATTGGATGTAGGAGAAAACAAGTAACAGGACAGGAGCCTACCACAGAGGGTCTCTGAAAGATTCTACCTAGCAGTGTATCAAAGCAGATACGGAGACTCATAACCAAACCTTTGGCAGAGTGCAGGGAATCATATGAAAGAAGGAGGAGTTAGTATGACCTGGAGAGGACAGAAGCTCCACAAGGAGACTGTATCTCCAACCAAGGACCTTGTATGGATATAACCTAGAATCCCTGCTCGTAGCCCATGGTAGCTCAGTATCCAAGTAGGGACCCTGGTAAGGGGAACAGGAACTATTTCTGACATGAACGCAATGGCTGCCTCTTTGACCTCCCCACCCACCCAAGGGAGGAGCAGCCCTGCTAGGCCACAGAGGAGGACATTGCAGCCAGTCCTGAAGATACTGAATAAGCTAGGGTCAGATGAAAGAGGAGGAGGTCCTCCCCTATCAGTGGACTTGGAAAGGGGTAGGGAGAAGATGAGGGAAGAAGGGTGGGGTTGGGAGGGAATGAGGGGGCAGAATACAGCTAGGATACAAAGTTAATAAACTGTAACTAATATTAAAAAAATAAAAATTTAATCAAAAAAAAAGAATCGTGATCAAGGTACTAAATTGACTGTATAAACTTGAATTAGGCCAGAAATTATATGTATATAATATATTATACATTATAATTATATATAATATATATTAAGATTATTTGTAAAAAATTTATGTATGTAAGTATGAATAACTTCTGGCATTTAAATCCAGATTAAGGTATAAAAGAATGAATGAGGAGAGTCTGCTTTGCTTTGGGAAACAGGTGGCAGTTGATACTTTATTTTATTTTATATATATTTTACGTGCTGGTTATGTCACTTGACAGATATGCTTGTGTCTTAAGGGACTGGAGAGACAGCTCAGGAGTGAAGAACATTTGCTGCTCTTTCAGAGGGCTCCAGCCCCATTGTTCTTAGCACCCACATTGGATGGCTTACAACAGCCAACCATAGTCCAACTCCAGGATATACAAGTGGTGTGTGTTCTCTACACGCATGCACGCATGCGTGTACACGCGCGCGCACACACACACACACAGACGAGTAAATCTTTAAAAAATGTTTAGGAAATCTTGAGGACTTTTATGGACTAGAAGAACATAAGTTTCTTTCAGGAACTTTCCTCAGTTGGTAAGGTGTTTGCTGTACAAGCATAAAGTCCTGAGTCTCAACCACTAGCACCCATGTGAAAAGCTGGCATGACTGCACAAGCCTAACTAAAGCACTGTGTGACAGCAGAGGTTTTCTGGGGCTTGCTGCCTTCCACTCCCTAGTTCATTCATACTCTTACAAGGGTATGAGCATGAATTATAAGGTGAGGAGTGGTGGAGCAGTGGTAAGCCAGTGTCCTCTTCTGGCCTCTACATTCATGTTGATGGGCATGTGCCCTCTCACACACATGCATCTGAACCACTCACAAGCACTACACATTTAACACACATACAAACATGTGCCCAGTATTTTTGTCTCAGCAAAGGTTCTAGGGTTGGCTTTGGTGTTTGCTCTGATGCCCTCATTGGCCCGAGTTTCCCAACTGTACACAAGAAGGTATTTTACACAGGTGAATCCTAGCATTTCATACAAGTTCAGTAGCTCTGAAGAGTATTTCAGAGCCTTACAGACCTACATTCCCATGCTGATTCTCACAGTTGGAAATTAAGTGATGCAGGAAAATTCCTTAATGTTAGGAAGCTTTTTATCTATGAAACAGTTACACTTTACAAAGTTAGGTGTAGGATTCAGGATGATAATTGTTGTGAAGATACTGATTACTGTGCTGACATAGAGAATAGGTTGACATATTTCATGAAAACAAACTCCCAAATTTGGCCTAGTGTTGAGCATAAGGGACTGTGACTAAGTCATAGTTTATCTAATAATGTGGTATTTAATGCCTAACCAGCCTAGATGTTACTAGAGAGCTCTGCAGTTTTAGCTTGAGGAAAATCCCCCAAATTTGACACTTGAGCAAACAGCAAACTCCTTTACATGGGTGTCATTTCCCTAATGCTACTAAGACAAATTTTGAGTGCATCAGAATGTTGGTAGAAATTGATCCTCGCTGTGCTGCTTTCCTTTCCTAGGTTTATATTTTATTTTTGGTATAACTCATGAGAGGATAACAAATGAGAGGAAGAATAAATTTGGCTATGTCTTTTGAGCTCAACCGAATAGGATTTTTATGTTATTTCTTAAGATTTTACAGTGCTACATTTATCTACCTAGGTATCTATTTATCAGTCTATTTAATTTATTTATATTTGGTTTTTTGAGGCAGGGTTTTTCTGTATTGCCTTGGCTGTTCTGGAACTCCTGTAGACCTTGGCCTAGAACTCACAGGCCTGCCTCTGCCTTCCTGAGTGTTGGGATTAAAGGCGTGCACCACCACTACCCAGCTCCAGTGTTACTTTTTAAAAGGGGAAACCAATTAAAAGATCTCTTTTAAGAAGCTGAATTATTTTCACTTAACAATGTAGTTACTTTATATATAAGTATGCAAATTTTTGAATGTCACTTATACACTAAATGTTTTTAGAGCTCTGAAGTTGAGTGGGTTGAGGCCCAACCCTCCCAGACACCTGACAAAGAAAAGACCTGGAAAGTGAAAGACAAAAGGCCAGAAAAAGAATGTGACAGCCATGTTATTCAGGTGAGCACCTAGCTGATGTCAAAGAGAAATGGTAGCTTCTAAGAACAGATGGGTGTTAAACTGGTGATTTTAACTTTTTCAGGAGAAGAATTAGACTTTAGCAGTAGTTTATGAACACTTCCCACAGAAATGCCAATTGCTGGTATTCAGATAGGCCTTCTTCTGCTGTAGAAGGAGATGCTCATCTTTGCTGCATCCCTTCAGAGCTTAGTCAGCTATGGTTGTTGGTGTTTTCCTCTTTGAAGGGATTTACCTAATACTATTACGTTGTCAGAACCTCCTGTATCTGTCTAGGTCAGTTGTAGCTTTTCTTTTTCTTCTCCTTATGTCATAATTTGTGTGTCAGTGCTTATACTTGAATAGCAAATAAATTTTGAGTTCTGTTTCATATACCTAAGAAAGAATATAATTTATTACCCACTTAGCCACAGATGAAGGAAAAAGGGTGAACAGGAGCTAGTCTTTGATTGTGTACACCAAGCCCTATGTTGGCTGCCCTTCATACTTGTTATTCTGTTTACTCTTTAAAACAAACTTGAAATATAAGTACTTCCTCCTGGCCACTTTATGAAGGGAGAGACTAAGGTGCAGCAAAAATGAGAAACTTAAGAGTGGCTAGCCATGCAACATCTACTTTCGACTGGTGCCTGCAGTCTCTGACCTTACAGCACCTCGTAAGTATAGATTGACATGGCTTCATTCTTTTACAGCGGGATGAGTGGATGACTGTTGATTTTATGTCTGTTAAAACTGTGTCCTCATCAACACTCAAAGCTGAAAAGGAAACACTACAGAAAATAGAGCAGGAGAAAGCCCAAGCGCTGCTGCAGGTAAGACAACAGTTTGAATGCTTTAATTTTTGAATTTGCCCTAAGTAAACTAATACATTGTTTTATGTTTGTTTATTCCTATAGATACCTTATTATTTGTAATGATAATTTATTTCTAAAATACTTTTTCTAGTGGTGTGTGCTAACAATGAGAACTAAGAAATGTGATACAAATACTTTAAAAATAAATTTCTTGTAGGAAAGCTATTTAAAGGATACTAGGGGTTGAGAGACAGCTCAGCAGCTAATAATCCTTGATGCTCTTCCGGGAGTCTCAAATTGGGCTTCCAGCACCTACATGGCAGCTGACAACCAGTTCCAAGGGTTTTGCTGTCTTCTTGGCCGCTGTGGGCACTATACACATGCGGTACACGACATACACACAGGCAGACCGTACAGATAAAGTACACCTAAAATAAAAATGAGTATGTAATTTTTATAGAAGTATGTACTAAATTCAGGCTGGAGAGATGGCTCAGTAGTTAAGATCATGTCCTAGACCCATTCAGAACCCACAGAGGGTGGTTCAGGGCTGCCTGTAACCCAAATTCAGGAGAGCCAATACTTTTGGCCTGGGCAGGCACCTGTACACTTGTTCACATGTACGCACTTAGACATAGGCACATAGACATAGAATGTATTTTGTAAAAGGCATATACCTAGATGTGTAAATCTAGGTGAATGGAGTTAAGCAGTTGTGTGTTACATGACTGTCATGAATTACAGTTGAGCCTAAGTTAGTTACAAGAATGCTTTCAAGACAGCAACTCCATAGGAAATACTAAACAAGCATGTTTATGTTATTCCTTCACTGTGAAGGCAAGAGAGCAATGGGAAATCCTTAGAGACCAGAAACGATGGGATATAAACCAAGAGGTACAGACACAAACCTACAAAGTATAGAAGTGCTGTAGCTTGTGGCTTTCAGAAATTGCCTTTATAATTTATCTTGAATGTAATAGAGATTAACAAATGAAAACTATGGCCAAATGATTTTGAGAGTCCTATGGTCAGTGTTTTTTCTTTTTTCTCCCAGTCTAATTTTAAAAGTAAGCATGGTAGTTGTGTTGGTTTGTAGCCAAGCTGCCACTCATATGGAGCCTCAGAGGACAAGATTTTTGGAATGTCTTGTCCAAGTCTGAGTTAGACTTGAAGGTTCTCAGACAGGTAGGTATTCAGTGAAGACACATGAATGTGAGTCAGAAATTATGTTACCTACATAATATGTCTTAAGAATTTTAAATGATTCGTCAAGGTTGTATATCTGACAGTTAGGCACCTCAAATTATTTAGTAATCGTCTTCATGCTGGGTTGACTTTTACACTCTAACTTTTCAAAATATTTTGTTCTAGTCCACACTTCTAGAAAGAGAACTGAATCCATACTGGAAGGACGGTGGAACAGGTCTCCCATCAGAAAATTGTATACCCTCAGTTACTAAAGGTATCTTTATACTTTTTTGTAGTCTCATAGGCATTTCTCAGTTTCTAGTAATGAGAGGGGTAAAATGATTCAAGTACATTATATACATGTTTGAAAATGTCACAACGAAAGTCACTATTTTGTACAGTTAATATACACTAATAAATCCATATTCTTGTAGTTTATTGTTTCTATTGCAGGTCCCACTTGAGGTCGAATAATAAAGGCATGGTGTAAAAAAAGTGTGTGGGTTTCTCTACCCCCATTCTAGCTCCCAAATAATGACATAGAGACCTATTAAACTTACTAGTAAGCTTTAAGCAGCATAGCTGGGCAGATTCTCAGCTGTTCTAACCTGACTATGCTGGTCCGGCTATTTTCCAGCCACAGATCCCATTACTTGCCAACTTAAGTCTCACCCTGGCTGCTCCTGCTCCATCTTTGTCCTCATGGTGATTTCCTCAAGGCAACTTTCTCATGGTGACCTTCTCTCCTTTCTCTTCTCTTGCGACTCTTTTCCTGGGGTTCCAAGTCCTATCTTTTCTTTCCTGCCCAGCTATTGGCTGTTCAGCCCTTTATTAACCAGGCAGAGGTGTTGGACACAACATTGAGACAGGAGATTCTTTAATAATAATGACAATGCCCATGTGGGGACTGCAGCCAAATATTTGGGCACAGAAATAAGCATTGAATACACAGAGCACAAAACCATCCCCTAGTGTAACACTAGTAGGACTGTTAGTTTTATGTTATCGATTACAATTTGTAATGTACAGATATTCTTAAAGTTAGGATTTAAGTTATGACTGAATTTTTTTTTTTCCCTGTCCCATTTCCTTTGCACAGCAGCCTAGGGCAAGCAATCTTTTTTTTTTTTTTTTTTCTCCTGTATTTCTCTTTGGATTGCTAACACCTTAGTGACAGTTGAGATTTTCACGATGTATAGTTGTTACTGGATTACTTTCAAATATGGTTCTATAGACTCATTGATCTAATTATGTAGCTGGGACGTTAATAAAGACATTAATTGCTCTGGGTTCTTCACTTATCACCATGCTGACTGCAGATTTGGCCTAAGTTCCTTGAGTGCTTACTCTATATAATTTACACTTAAAGGACAAAAGTAAAATAACCTTTTGAATGAAAAGTGGCATCATTAGAGATCTAGGCTTGAATATCAATGTGTTTTAGATCTGTAAAGAAAGACCACATTATATTAGAAGAGATTACTTAGTAAATATTGAAATTTGAATAAAACAGTACAGTTAATTTGAATATAATGTAAAAAATTTGTCTTCCTTTTAGTTTTGTCTTTAAACTTAAAAACAAGTTTTTTGAGCATTCTTTAGTATGTTTATTATACCATTAAATAATCTTACCATCATTTCAAGCAAGAGAAGGGTGATCAAAGAGCATATTGGTATGGATACATGCTGTTTTTTATTTAAATTTATTTATTTTTTATTAATTACATTTTATTCACTTTGTATCCCAGCTGTAGCCCCATCCCTAGTCCCCTCCCAATCCTACCCTCCCTCCCTCTTTTCCTCCCATACCTCTCCCCCAAGTCCACTGATAGGTGATGTCCTCCTCCCCTTCCATCTGACCCTAGTCAATCAGGTCTGATCAGGACTGGCTTCTTTGTCTTCCTCTGTGGCTTGGTAAGGCTCCTCCCCTCAGGGGGAGGTGATCAAAAAGCCAGCCACTGAGTTCATGTCAGAGACAGCCCCTGTTCTCCTTGGGATACCATTTGGATACTGAGCTGCCATGGGCTACATCTGTGCAGGGGTTCTTGGTTATCTCCATGCATGGTCCTTGGTTGGAGTATCAGTCTCAGAAAAGATCCCTGTGCTCAGACTTTTTGGCTCTGTTGCTCTCCTTGTGGAGCTCCTGTCCCCTCCAGGTCTTTCTATCTCCCCTTCTTTCTTAAGGTTCCCTGCACTTAAAAATTATTGTAGTTCTGTGTACACGTGGAGTAGGGTATTATGTGCATGTGAGTGCAGGTGCCCATGCAGGCCAGGTCTGTCTGATCTGGACCCAGAGTTACAGACACCTGTGAGCCAACTGCTGTGGCATGGGAACTGAGCTCTGAGTCAGCTGTTAGAAAAGTGCATGGTCTTGAGCCATCTCTCCAGCCCTCCGTGATCTTCTTACCACAGTCACCACAAATACAAAGCAGGACGAATATTGTCACAGTGTCATGAAAATCAGCACACAGTTGGAGAAGCAACAGTTTCTACACCCTAGAAATGTTCTTGTCCCCTTTTAGTAACTCTGTTCCTGGAGGGGTAACCACTGTCCTATATTTTATAATCAAAGCTGAGTCATACTTTTCGACTCTTTGATTTTTTTTTTTTTTTTTTTTTTTTTTTTTGGTCCACATTTGGAGTTCTTCCATGGTGTTGTAAATAGCCGCAGCTCATTTATTCTCTTTGTTGTATAATATTCCATTTAAGAAAAGAGGATGATCTGGTTATGGACATTTCCATGTTTGAGCTACTATAGGCTGTTCTGTTATGAAGATTCCTGTGCATGTCTTCAAGAGCCTGTGTGTGTTTCTTCGCTCTAGAGCTGGCGGGATCTGAAATTGGTCTTCATTGGGCGAGAAAATCACGAACGGCATTTTAATTTAAGTAATCAATTATATTTCTTTGTATAGATTAAAAATACAACACACACATGAACATATGCACGAGCACACACAGGAGAGAGATTTATTGAAGGCATTCAAATGTTCACAGTTTCTAATAACAGCTAAGGTTTAACTTAGTGACATTATCTTCTGTAACTTCCTTACTTACACTTTCTGTTGCTTCTTTGGTATCTTTCTTCACTGTGCACATTTATTCCTTATATCTAGAGTGCTAATCCCCCTATTTTTTTTTCAAATAAATACTACTCATTTTTGAGTTCATTCTATGAAATTTTTTCTGACCTTCCAGTTAAAAATAATTTTTAAACTGAGCGTAGTGGCACATATTTTTAATCTTAGGGTTTAGGAGGCAGAGGCAGGCATACCTCTGTAAGTTCAAGGCTAGCTTGGTCTACTAAGCGAGTTCAGGCCATCTAGGGCTGCATAGTAAGACCTTATATCAAGAAGTAAATAGTCCTTAACTTTTTTGATTCTTCTGTAACTTTCTGTTTTTATATGTGTTTACACCTGTTCCCTTAATACTTGTTCTTTTAAATTGGTATTTACTTACAGGTAGTTTTCTTTCTCTTTTTTTTCATCATGACAAGCCTTTGTAGGTTTTGTAAGTAGGCTTTTAAATATACGGTGAATTTTAATTGTGGTTATAACTTATAAATATTCAAGGAAAGTATTTAATTTTATACTTTAGACGTGATAGAAATAGGAAATAATAATTTTACAATAACTACCTAAGAAATATAACTAATGCTTATTATTGAAATTTAGCTACAGGAGTAGAGGATGGTGGATTAAGCTGGCTAAAAAAGTCTTATCAAAGAATGAAGGAACAAGCGCAAAAAGAAAACAGAAAATTTGAAGATATTGTAGCTGAAAAATATGGAGTAAGTATTTGTATTTCAAAGAGAAATACATTTTTTCATAGTTATTTGAAAAACTAAATGTCTTTGTTTTGAGACATGAAACATTGTTAATAGATATAGATTTGAATTGGTAGTAGATTTATCTTCTTGTAAACAGTTTCGTGCTCTGATTGTGTAAGGATACCCCTTAGGGATTATTCTACAGTCGTTTTTGTGTGGGTGCACTCAGTCATGTGCACTTGCAGTAGGCCCGAGTGAAATTTTAGGGTAGAACTTGTGGGAGTCAGCTCTGGCCTTCATCATGTTGTGTCTTCTACCTTGTGGGTCTTAGGAAGTGAACTCAAGTCTCCTTAGCCACTTAGACATTTTGCCAGCCCTGCCTATAACTTCTGAAGTTTTACATAATGAATGTAAAACCAAAGTGTGAAAAACTTAAAATGAATGCATGTTTGATGTAATAGCAGCATTTTTCTCATTGGAAGAAAATTGAAATAATACAGGAGAATCTCTGTAGTGTACCTGGAGAGATAAAGACTTTTAGCATTTTGGTAGACTCCAGAGTTTCATCTATTGTAGCATTTTGGCAGTGTGACTATGCTTCAGCATATGTTTTAAGCCATTTTAGTGTTCTTTCTTTTCAGGCAAAGTGTTAGCTGCGTGCCCTGTCTGTAAATGCACTCCCCTTGCATGCTTCTTTCCTTGTCCAGTTTTTGGGAAGATTTTTATCTGAGTAAACTGGGTATCTTCTACCACACCCCAGCAGCTGAAAACGAACCTTCTGTTCAAGAAATCCTCCTTTTCTCCACACTTTTCTCCCATCCTTTTGTCTGGAGATACCGACATAGTTATGAGGGTCTCTAGAATCAAAGGTCGTGTATCTTTTTTTTCCTCTTAAAACATGCATCTTACTGTTACTGCTGTTTCCCACTGTAGAGAATTTCTTGGGCAATTTAATTTTTTTAAGAATTTATTTCATTCAACATACTTGAACATTTTCCCCATTAGTCTTTTTTATTTTTATACAGTTTTTTTCCCGCAAAGATCGTAGTTTTAGCAGCATAGTGTAGCCTCTTGAATCTTTAAGTTACCAGTATGTATTAATTATGACTTTTTAGAAGTTGTGTCTGTCGTGTCTGTGTGACACTTATACAAGGCATTTGTGCTCAGTGCGTGTCTTTGAAATCTTTTCATTTGATTTAATTATTTTTCTTTATCTACTTGTATTTTTAAACCATTATTAGTGTATTGTATTTATGTTTCTGTCTATTTTGGTGGGGTGTTTTTATTGTACCATTTAACAGTGCATTAGGGCACAGAGCCATGGGAGACAAGACACTGAATCTTTCTTGACTGTAGATATATTATTGTTCTCCCTTGTAGTCAATGGAAATATTCCAGTCAAAGTTAAAAGAAGCTGAAAAGATTGCCTACAGAAGAGAAGACTGTGGATGGGAGCGGTGGAGGAAGCCTGCGCTGTCAGACAGAGGACAGTGTAGTCAAGTGGGTGGCACACCGGAGTTAGGGACATTGGAACAGTGCGCAGAGGGCAGACATTCCGAGACAGAGCTTGCACACAGCGGCAGCAACTGTCCATTGCGTGGTCTTAACACGGGGAAGAGATCTGGGTCTTTAGAAACCTGTAGAAGAGAATCTGCCCTAAGAAAAAGCCAAGAATATTCTGGAAATTTGAGACCTAAATTCTTGAAACCCTCTGATGAGGATGAACTGTCATCCCGCAGCAAGAGAAGAAATTTTGAACCATCTACTTTATCTTCTACATTAGCGGCTCGGACTCCTTTACATCGTGATTTTCGAAAACCCCCAGAGAGCAGTGAAGAAAGTTTGACATCCTGGAGCCTGTCTGGTAGGCGAGAAGGAGACAGGAAGCACTCAGATCAAAAGCCGTCGGAACCCTGGAGTTGCAGTGATGATCAGCACTCTGCAGGAGACAAGAGAGAACAACTTCAGGCTGAGAGCGCAAGGGCTGACTCTTCAGGAAGAGGACATCCGCAGGACACAAGGTCAGCAGCATCTGGGTATTCTGTGCATTTATGTTTTCACATAGCTTCTTGAGTGGGGTCAAACCGAGGAAAATTTGATTTTGTCATAGATGTGACCCTCTTGGAGGTAGAAAAAAAAAAATCTGTTCAAAGGTAAGGACAAACTTCCACATAAATGATCATTAAAATAGGGTAAAGGTCTGGGGAGCTAGCTCATAGCACGTTATATAACCCCATTGCTCCAGCAGAAAGATGAGAGGTGGAAATCGGAAAATCCGTCAGACGCTCATGGGCCAGATAGCCTTTAGAAACTGAAAGGGGACTTTGTTATGGTGACTGAATAACCATGGCGGGGATTAGAAAAGTTAATGTCTACAATAGCGAAAATGAGAGATCCTCCTTTGAAACACTGGAAGCCAGGACCAACACTGAAGGTTGTCCACTGACCTCTCTTGCCATGCGCAACCGAAGGGGACATTCTCTTACTGTTGCAGGGTTAGAAGACAAACTGCCTGGGCTTTATTCCGAGGGCCTCGGGTGGTGGGTCATTTCTAGTCCCCAACTGCTAATGGGGTGATGCCACTAATTACTGGTGTCATTGACCCCGGCTTAGCATTTCAGCACAATGTGCTGTCCTGTTTTCTGTGAATGTAGGTGAGCTTTGTGGGTGAAGTTTCCATACATTATTAGTCTCCCATCTAATTATTGAATTGCTTCATTTCTGTTCTGTCTTCTGAAGCTGTATTTTTCTGGTAGTTATATCTTGATACAGGAATATAGTAGAGCCCTTGTGACCTGATTTTTTTTTTTTTTTTTTTTTTTTTTTTTTTTTTTTTGGCATTAGAGAATATGATGCTAGAAGTTTGAGGAATTATCTCCATATATTTAGAAGAAAAAATACTTCTGAGTGATGGAGTAGTGTTAAGAGAGCAAGGTAGGCCTTGAAGGATGCCAAAAAGCATCAGTGAAGGACTTCTGGAGGATTTTTGTGTGAACGTTATTATGAGATATTTTGGATTATTAAACAAATGCTGGGTTCTAGAAAATTTTCTTTTTTTTTTTTTTTTTTTTCTAGGAAGTTTTAAGCCAGTGGACTCTAGAACTATAAAAAGGTTATTATTCTGATTTTAGAACCAGAACAGATCAAAATCTGAGCCCTGCACTTTCCAGGTGTGAAAACTGAGAGAATTGAGGTTGTAATTCTCATTATATAACAAGGGTTGCTTGATTTATTAAGTAAAAAAATTGTAATTTTGTTGTAGTTAGATGTATTTATGATTTAAACACACATATACATACACAAGTGGATCTATACATTTTATGTGGCAAGTAGATAGCCCATTAAATTTTTTACCAGATACATATATTTTTAAAAAAATACTTGTTTCTTTTATGGTAAGTGTAGTTACTAGTACTTTTGTGTAGTTGGTTTTTCTTTCTTTTTATTTGCATCATTGGTAACTTTCCTTTTCCATCCATTCTTTCACTTTCTTTTATTTGATCGTCTTTATCATTTCTCATTCTTTTTTGAGCTTGATTATCTTGTAGGAAGACACCATCTAATAGTGGTCCATGTGAGTTAAAGCTTTAACCTTATTATTTTTAAAGATAAAATGTGTATCTATATTTTTTTGTTGGAAAAAATATGTTAGCTAAGTAATTTTAGGAGCCTGAAACACAGAACAGTACTTAAGATGAGTAGGATATATTATGTCGTCATTTGGAGTTCACATACTTAATCAGAAACTGACTCATTACTATACTATTATAACCTTGAAGTGTCATCTCGCCATGTTGGTATTACAGCTCAGAAGGGCAAGGAAAAGATGCCAGGCTCTTAAGTCTCTGAGTAAGATCCTTAGGCAGTAGTGAAAATATGAGCTTATGTGGCGAGAAAAGAATAATTACAGAGATCAGTGAACACTGCCAGTGGGAAAAGGAAAAATGGAAGTATAATACAATGTTAGTGGATTGGGCTCTTTAGTTATTCCCTCCTGAGAAGTTGTGGGGGGTGTTATTAAAAATACACATTTTAATGGTAAAATGTGGTTTTCTTTATAGAAACTAATTATAAAGGAGACTCCAGAAATATGTCTAATCCAGAAAAATAAGACTCTGTTATACTTCTTTCTTGCATATAGGACAGTGGCAGATATTATGGTTGAGTTTCTTTCAGTGTCTGCTCAGAGTTGCAGATAGTTAGAGAAGGTGAGTTTATTTTATGTTTATCTTGAAAATTGTAAGATTCAGGTTGACTTCAGTGTTTCTTTTAGTACCTTCTCTTGACTGAGTTTTTCAGCTTAGGTCTGAGACATGAGGGAAGAGGGAAGCTTTTCAACAAAAAGCAGGGTGAAAAAAGTACTAACAAGAGTCCTGTGTGAGCATTGGCAGAAGCCTTCTGCAACTTCACTCGAGGTATTTTTCTTAAAACAGAGCAGCCAGATGCCAGGTTTCAGTAGTCTAAAGTATGGTTCCACATGCAATATTAGAGACAGAAATGGTATTCAGGAGATAGAGACAGAAGGGCTGCTGTGGGCCTGAGGAGAGGGTTGTGTGTTCGTTTGCCCTGCTTGCAGTGAAAGCCTGGGGACCTGAGCTTGACCTTAGTACCGGAGACTTTGTGTCTGTGTGCAGGCCCAGATCTGAGAAAATGGGGATGAGGCGCCCCCAGAACTCAACAGTTGCCTCATCTTTCAAATTGGTGAGCTCTTTTCAATGAGAGAACCTATGTCAAACTAAGGTGAACAGGCAAGCTAAAGTTACTATAAAAGTTAATTAATTTTTTTAAAAAATGAAGATATGAGAACTTTTTTAATACACATCAATTAGAATTTATTAAGGCTGCTTTAAAGCATCAAGGACAGGGGCTGGGGACCCTTGGTTCCATAACAGCCAGGACTCTGCAGAGACTCCCTGTCTTCAAAACCAAAACCACAAACCAGAAGTGCTGATGCTTTCCCAAGCGAAAAGTGTAGAAAAAGAAAGGGCAGAAAATTTTAGAATTTTGAGTCACAAGAACTTCCTTCAGCTCTTCATACCATGGGGACAAGTGGGCAGAAGAGGCAGCTGTGGAGTGCTCACGAAGCGGCAGGACAGGGTGCCTGCTGTAGTCCTTCCTGTCCTGGGAGGGACTGTGGTCCCGAGAGCAGCTGGACTGCAGTAGCATGGTTGCAGGTGGCTGTGCCCCAGGCCACTTCCCAGATGTCCTAGTTTGCCAAGGCTGCTTCTTTGCTGGCCTGGCAGGAGAGTGGTGTAGTCCTCAGTGCCAGGAGCAGATCCTCCAGGAGCTCCTACCCACTCCCCTGCGTGTGGTCAGACCTGCATGTGGTCACAGATAGATCACTGAATCATATGGTACTTGTACTTTAAATGTTAAGAAAATGTGAGACTGTTCCTAGAATTGCCATGTCATTTTATGTCACTACCAACAAAATATGGCACCGTTACTCTTTCTGTTTATGTTCAAACACTTGGCAGTGAGCAGGCTGTTTAACCTGGTGAGTAGTTGTAGCCCAGAGCTACATTGTACCTCCTAAGAACCACAGATGTTTAGCCTCTCTCCAAGGGCTTTTGTGTCTTTTTAGTTAATGCTTAGAATATCTAGTAATGATTTCTCTTTTGTTTCCTTGTTTTCTTAACCTGTCGTATTGATCATATTCAAAAAGCAACTTCAGTTTTATTTAATTTTTCTATTTTTTGATTTTATGTTTTATTTCTGCTTTTTAATTATTTCTGATTTTCTGTTTTCTGCTTTTTAAATCTGTAGGCTTGTATCTGTCATTTCTAAGTAAGTAGTGAATTCCCTGTGTTCTCCAAGGTCACACCCTAGCAGACTCCCACGAATTCAGACATAAGGCACGTGTATTTCTCTGCAATTCAGAATGCCTTCCAGGTTCCCTCTGTCCTGGTTGACTGGTTACTCTATGCTGGGGGTCAGAGTTGCCTTGTGTCGACAGTAGTTGGCATGATTTTTAATGCTGGTCCAGGTTGTGGAGGGTCTTCCAGCAGTTCTTATTAATGATTTCTAATTTAATTTCATTGAGCAGAAAACACTTTTTGCATGACCTGATTTTTCTTAGGCTTCCTAAGAAAACCAGTTTTATGGCTCAGAATATGATCTATTTTGGTAAACAGTTTTATTCTTGAAATAATGTGTCTCCCATAGATGTTGAGTGTTATGTTCTGTAAATCATCATCAGCTCACTTAGTTGTTATTCATCTTCCATATTCTTGCAGATTTTTCTGTTTGTTTATCTTCTGGAGTGTTGAGAAATGCTGAAATGTATAGCTTTCATTGTGGATTGGTCTGCTGAAATACTGTTAGTGTTTGCTGTTTGAGACTTCCTTCTGAGGCACATGGACATAGGGATTCCTGTATTCTTTGATAGCTCAGCCCATTGCTCTCATGAGATGACCCTCTTTGTCCAGGATAGTATAGGCCCTTTGTGTTAGACAGTAAGTAACTTGTCTCATATTAACATAGATACTTGAACCTCCCCATGACTAATGTTGACATGGTGTATCTTTCATCCTTTTTACATATAGTACATTTATATCTTTATACTTACAGAACTTCCTTGTTAATTAACAATGTCCATAGGTAACAATCTGCCTTTTAATACAGGTCCTTTAGTAATCTGATCTTTTACAAATCTTACTCAGTGTGGATTTTTTAAAAATCTTGTATTTCAGTTTTCCTAAGTAGAAGTTCAATTTGCATCTTTGTTGTGCCTTTGGAGACAAGGTCTTGTGTTGATGTAGGCCAGATTAGCCTTGAACACTCTGTCCTCTTGTTTATCCTCCTAACTACAGATGCACACGACCATGTCTGGCTAGGGGGCTTCCTAATATCTTTACTATTTCTTTATGAACAGATGGGGAACTTTATTTATTTATCTATCTATTCATTCATTTATTTATTTATTTATTTAATTTTTAAATTTCATTTATTTATTACAATTTATTTATTTTGTATCATGGCTGTAACCTCCTCCCTCATCTCCTCCCAGTCCCACCCTCCCTCCCTCTTCTCTCCTAGATCCCTTCCCTAGTTCACTGGGGAGGACCCCCTCCCCTTCTCTCTGACCCTAGCCCATCAGGTCTCATCAGGGCTGGCTGCATTGTCTTTCTCTGTGGCCTGGCAAAGCTGCATCTCCCCAAGGGGGAGGTCATGAAAGAGCCAGCCACTGAGTTCATGTCAGAGACAGCCAGATGGGGTACTTTTATACTAATAACTTAAAATGCTTGTTTATTATATCTATCAGTTCTGATGGCTTTTGATAAGAATTTTCTTGTCCTTATGAGTTTTAAGCTTACATATCTGATAATATTTGTGTACTAGATATCATGATATTTATTTGTTGAATGCTGCGTTTCCCCCTATTATTGACATGCATTCATTGTATGAATTGATCAGTTCTGTAAGAACACTTTCATTCAAATATGTCATGCATTTAAATATTTTTGCATTTCGTTTTGGGATGTAAATGAGAAACCATTTGCTACTTCATTTTAACATTTTGTATTTTGGCTCTGAGTAGCATTTTAGTGTACGGCATTATTTCCTAAGCATTCTACCCAGTATTTTCTTACTTGAGCAAGTTTGCTGTGTGGTTAATGGGATCAGACACCATTACCAGAATTCCTCAGAACATTTTAACCATTTAGGGAGTTGTTTCCCTGACAATAGGTATTTCCTTGATAGATACTTTAGGGCAGCCCTGAGGGTTTCTCTCATCATACAGCTTTCTCTTCTCTGGCACTCTGAACTGGGACTACCTTGAACTTGTGGAACTGTTATTAGTATTTGCTCTTAATAGGTTCACCTTGTTTTTGTTGCCTTGATTCTTAAGATAGTTAAGCTGGGTTATCTGATGTTGGCTGAAATTTTCTCTTACGTGAGGCTTCTGTGAGTTTGACACATGATCTCAATTTTAAATAACTTTTGTTGATTAATTAATTATGGGCCAACTTTGCAAAAGAACACACAATTGTTGCTTTTATTTGTTGAATGCAGTTAAATATACTCAAGGTTCTAGTTCAGAGAACAATAACTTGTGATATGAATTACAGCATTTCTTAAGAGAGAGAAAATTGTGGGCTGATGTTTGTGCTTTTGTTTATTTTCTTTTTAGAATGAGTATAGATTTTGTTTGATTATTTATTTCTGAGACAGGGTCTCTTGATATAGCCCAGACTGGACTCAAATTTACCATGTAGCTCAAGATGGCCTCTAGCTCATGGCAGCTCCCAAGTTTGGTCTCCTGAGTGTTGGGATTACTGGCTGAGTATTTTTAAAAAATGAAGATTCATTAATTTGTATATTATTTATCTTATAGTTACTGGGACTCTTTTCAGTTATCATTACAACTGTAATAGGCCATTCTTGGCTTTGTAACAGACTCTTGGAGTTTAATTCACCCTCGAATGCTGAGCTTAATTCTTAAGCTGTGTTATTGCTGTGTTGTTAGTGATACAGTCTCTGCTGAAGTCAGTTAATGCATGAGGTTGATTTATGACTATGTTCTTCCCCTTTGCTGTTTACCTGCAGTCCAGGGGCAGAGTTCACCCATATCTTGAATATTGATGAAAAGAACAAGTTGGGGGCCAGGATTATCAAAGCAGAGATGATGGGGAATATGGTAAGATGCCGTGTGCTGTTCACTTGGAGAAGAATGAAATGTTAACTTTCACAGATATTTTGAGAAGTTTTAATCAGTTAGATGTGGCATCCTTTGAAGATAATTATTGCTTCTTAATTTCTATTTTTTAGAGTAGTAAATATTAAATAATTATAATAGAAAAAAGTACAGTTTAATATTTGAAAGCACAGAGGAATCAATGAAAATAATTGAGTGGTCACCTAGTAGGTTAACTCATAAGAATTTTAAAAAGTGTTCTGTTTTTCATGGAGACATGGCAGATTAGCATGCTATTTTTTGTCTATTTAATTTATCACTTAATCTATTTAATTTATCATTTTGTGGTTTATTTCATGTTTTATATAAATTTACAAAGTCCTGAGAACAGTGAAGTATATCCAAAGTTTTTATGAAAATTTTTCATCAGAAATGAAGACAATAAGTTTTTTTATAATTGCTTCCTATGATGAATAAATTTTTAGTATTGGAAGTTTGTAATACCTAAGAAATTGGAAATATGTGATTCTTTATATTTCTTCTGTTTTCTTGAGTCTCTTAAAATATGCTTTCTTGAAACTATTCACCTTAAAGCCATAAACAAATGCTCTCAGTACTCCAGCAATTTGTAACTGAGGTGTGCTCATTAAAATTTAGTGTGAATTGATTATTGAAGCTAGCTGCTAGCTGTAGGGCCTTTTGATTCACTGTTTTCTGTTTTATAACTTTGAAGTATTCTGTGATGAAAAATTCAACCTCCCAGCTTACCTCTCTTATTTTCCTTTTGAAGGAATTAGCTGAACATCTTAAAGCCCAACTTGAAGAGGCAAACAAATTTAAAGAAACCGCTACACAGATAGCAGCAAAAGGATCAAGGGTAGAGGTAAGTAGTAAGAGTTTGTGTGAATGCATATTATCTATTCTCATATTGGAGTACAGCAGTGGTACTGCAATACTAGGCGTCTGTGTGTAAATTTCACTAGCATTGCCTGATGCAAGCCTCATCCTAGGAGATCTGCTTTTATTCTAAATTCTGTGGCTTAGTATCTTTAAATTCTTCTTCTGTTGAAGAATAGGAGACTTGAATGAGATATTCATTTCATATGGGGCGAATTATTTTGTCTAAGGTTTGTTGATTTACTTAGTATTGCATGAAACAACACCACTTACCTGCCTAGAACTTTTCATTTGAGTACGAATAAAGGGACAATAATGTCTAAATGATGGCGTGATCAGAAAGTTATACATGCTATGCCAGAAAGAGTGAGAAAGTCCCTTTTGGGTGACTGGAAACAGACTACTAGACTTGGAGATACATTTTTGGGGGAGGGAGGGTGTCTGACAGTGGTTACCTTTCTTACTATAAAATTGATAATACATTTGTGGGAGAATAGTATTTGCTCTCCCACAGCTATTTTTAGATACTGGTAGGGATGTTCATTCTTAGCTATATCACGAAGTTGACTTAATAAAAAGTATTTTGTTTTCTCCCTTTTTTTTGGGTTTTGTTTTTGTTTTTCAAGACAGGGTTTCTCTGTATAGCCTTGCCTGTCCTGGACTCTCTTTGTAGATCAGACTAGCCTCAAAGTCATAGAAAGAGGCATTGCCTCTGCCTTCCTGAGTGCTAGGATTATAGGTGTGTACCACCACACCCTACTTCTTCCCTTCTTAAAATAGGAATTCACAATTTTTGCTAGCCATAGGCTTTTTTATAGGTACTGAATGGATAAGACTAAAGCATTTTGAGATTTGTTTATAAGAATATCCCCATAAAATGTTTATAATTTAGCATTTCATTTCAGTGTTTACAAAATTGAAAACTGTACAGTTTGAACTGTGATTGTTGGGAATAATTTAAAACTCAGAAGCGTTTCACATTTTTAGGAAATGAAAAGCATTTATAAATGCTTTCTGTTTATAGTAGAAAGTTGGTTTGCATTTATTCTAGAAAAAAAATAGTAAATTACATGGCTGTTAATAATGGTTTGCTATTTTCCTTTTTAGTTTTTTGAGATGAAGTCTCTGTTATATAGCTCTAGTTGTCTTGGAACTCACTATGGAGAGCAGGCTGGCTTTGAATTCACAGAGATCCACCTGTCTTTGCCTCCTAAGTACTGGTATTAAACATCTGTGCTACCATGCCAGGCTTTTGTGTTTTCTCTGTGGATGGACTTCTCTGTTGTAGGTGCATGAAATGAGTTGGTGTCAGGGCCTATTTACTGGCAGCATTATGGAAATGAAAGAAGACAAAGTGGGATAGAGACACCCAATGGGAGGAAGTGGGCTAGTTGTAAAATCATATCAATCTGTTTGAGGCCCTCATCTGTTAATCCATTTATGAACCATTTATTGAGGAATCTTTGACAATGAACTAAGTCTTATATACACTTAAAATATTTACCTTTGTCTTGGCCTGGAAAAGGCAGTTAAGACAGAAAATCATAAGTAGTCTAATAGTTCTTAAAATTACTTGGGAACTGACTGGTGGCTGTAATTACATTCTTAGTTTCCTTGTTGAGCAAGAATGTAACTTTCTCTGTGTAATGGAAGTAAAGTATACAGTAAATTTACCAGATTTATGAAGAACTAGAAAAAAGTACAGGGTCAGAAGTGGAAGGCCTTGCAGACTCTTGGCCTTTCCATTATTTAGTGTAGTGCCTCTAGCCTTCCATACAGCATTCAGGTTGTTTATAGATGTATAAAGTGTGTGTGTGTGTGTGTGTGTGTGTGTGTGTGTATGTGTGTGTGTGTGTTGTTCATCTTGGACTGATCGTGTCACAAAATATGATCCACATGAATTATGGGAAATGAAATAAGATTACAGGAAATGGGGTTGTAGAAACGGCTGGGTGGTTAATTGCTGTATGTTTGGGTCCCTGCATTCACATGGCTACTCACAAATATTTGCATAACTTAGTTCCATGGAGTCTGGTGCCCTCTTCTAGCTTCTGTAGATATTTGAATGGTTATTTGACTAGAGAAGCTAGGGCTTCTCTACCCTATCTAGTTCCCAAGTAATTGAAACAAAGACCTTTGAGATTTATAAAAGCTTTAAAGCACCATAACTGAGCAGATATCAACCCCCTAAGCTATTTTGCTATTTCCCAGTCACACACCCAAACAATTACTTTCCGTAATTGTTCTATCCTGGGCTGCTTCTGTTCCATCTGGCCAGCATCATGGCCATGTGCTTATGATCTGTACTGCTTCAAGATGACTTCCTCTCTCTCCACCTCCCAGCCTTGGAGAACTCAAGCCCAGGAACCTACGCCCTGCCTAGTTCTCTCTGTCCAGTTACACACCGGCTTCAGCTACATTGTTAACAGATTAACTTTGAATTAGGTAAAGCACAGTTTACACAGCAAAGACAGGTGTGGATGAGAATGGGCTCAGGGCTGGAGAGATGGCTCAGAGGTTAAGAACACTGCCTGTTCTTCGAAGGTGCTGAGTTCAATTCCCAGTCAACTACATGGTGGCTCATAACCATCTGTCTTGAGATCTGGTGCCTTCTTCTGGAATAAATAAAGCTTAGAAAAGAAAAAGAAAGAAAAGAAAAAGAAAGAAAGAAAGAAAAGAAAGAGAATGTGCTCATCTGGGTGGCAGATCTTGGGCCAGTAATTAGCATCAGAACACATAGCACCAGACCAACCCCAGCACCCAGGGCCCAGTATCACATGTAGTGCACATGTGTGCAGCAGAACACTCATGCATGTAAAATAAACATACAGGAATATTTATGTTTACAGAATGTCTCAATTTTTAATTTAGATTGAATCAATATACGGTTTCTGAGTGCTGGCTTCAAAGATCTGTGCATGTTCAGTTTCTTAGTCTTTTATTGCATTAGTAAATATTTCACACCAGGTCATTCTCCTATATGTAATCTCTAGGTTAAGTAAAGACTAGCGCAATTAAGTTATGTTAGAGTTTGGGGCAATGTTAGTGCCAGTGAGGTTGACTTTCTGGGGAATCAGTGAATCTTGGAATCTCCAGCATACAATAGATAGTTCTAAGATGTAGCAGGAAGTGAATCTGGCTTTCATTGATTAATATGTGGGAGTAATTCCCACATAAAACTATAACTTTCAGGTCAGGGACTTTATTTTTAGAATTATAGGCATTGAAAATGTGTGCTGATGTAACTTTAATATTTGATGATTGAGTGAATAAGTTAAAGAAAGGCATAAAATGTTGAAGAACTTGATAGATGGCTCATTCAGTAAAGTACTTGAGTTGGATCCCCAGAATCCATGTACTAGGCCTGATAATCCCAGTGTTAAGACAGTGGAGACAAGTAGATTCCTGGGCTTTATTCCCTAACCAGCCTAGCCAACCTGGTACATCCTGAGGCAGTAAGAAGCCCGGTGTGGAAAACAGAAAAACAGGTGGTCAGGGAACCACATCCAAGGTCATCTTCTGGTCTCCATATGCATGCATACACATAACACCAGTGTGAGCACACACAAAATTAAAATGAATCTTAGGCTAGAGAACGTGATAAATGTAATAAAATACTTTGAAATCAAGGAATGTAATTATACAGTTAATAATTGCAGTTTTCAAAAAAAATAATTGCAGTTTTCACAATATGATGAAGTTAGAAGCCATATTATTTTGTTTTCCTATCTTTATATTTTCTTTGTTTTTTGTTGTTGTGGTGGTGGTTTTTTTTTTGTTTGTTTTTTGTTTTTTTTTAAGACAAGGTTTCTCTGGATAATCTTAGTTGTCCTGGACTCACTTTGTAGACTAGGCTGGTCTCAAAAACTCACAGAGATCTATTTGCCTCCTCTTCCCCAAGTGCTGGGATTACAGTTGTGTGCCATCATGCCCAGCTCATCTTTATATTTTCTAGCAAGGGAACAAATAAGCTTTAAAATATAACATCTCATAAAATAACTAGGGGAGAAAAGTTAGGATATTAAATATTTGCAGAAAAATAAATTCCAATAAGGTTGTATTTTACTTCTTCAACACAGAAGTTGTTAAATGCAAGTAGAATTGATTTTTTTTTTAATTTTATTTTTCTTATTAGTTACATTTTGTTAACTCTGTGTCCCAGCTGTATCCCGCTCCCTCATTCCCTCCCCAACCCCACACTCCCTCCCTGGTCTCTTCCCTGCCCCTTTCCAAGTCCACTGATAGGGGAGGACCTCCTCCCCTTTCATTTGACCCTGTTTTATCAGGTATCTTCAGGGCTGGCTGCAAAGTCCTCCTCTGTGGCCTAATAGGACTGCTCCTTGAAAATTGAAACATGAATAATTTGATTGGCTTTGTTTTCAATTGCTCTTTAATAAATATATCACCTGATGCTCTTATTGATTATTACTAATGACATTCCGCTTGCATCATAGAAAACTTTTATCTTATGTTATGCCAGGAATATATTTGGCTACAATTTTTTGGTAACAATAATGTCTTTAAGCTATGTAAAATGTAATAACTTCTGAAGAACCAGACACGCGAAAGGTATTTGAACTGTTAAGACAAAGGAAACGCTGATATCATTTCAGTAGGTACTTTGAAAACTCTGCTTTGTCAATTGGTTGCCTTGTTACAATCAAATCCAAGTTAAAAGTTCATGAAACATCCATTAAGTATGCTATCCACTGTATGAGAGATGGCTATTCTCAGACAAGTCCCGGTAGACTGTTGCTACTTCATCATCCTTTTATTTTCCACCATAACATTTTTATTGCTTATTTGGAAATTTTACGTAACGCAGCTTGGTCACACTTGCTTCTCTAATCTTTCCAGGTCCACCCTCCTTCACCCTTATGTCTTCTCTGGAAAAAGAAGAAGGAAGGAAGGAAGGGGGGGGGGGAACACCATCTCTAATTCATGTTGCCCTTAAACTCATTTGAGCAGGTGAAACTCGCAGTGGCCAGTGGTCAGTTTCTCAGAGAGAACTGAGTCCTTCCCCAACCTCAGCCCTCAGCAGTGAGTTCAAGACCACTGACTGGTTCAGTAATACCATATCTCAGAATCTTTTTAAGAAGTAAATAAGAGGGTTGCATATAGCTCCTTGGTGGGATGTTTGCTTAGTATTATACATGAGGGCTATGGCTTAACTCCCAGTGTGTCCAATTACAATCAGTAGCATTAAGTATTTGGAGGTTGCCTTAGCAGTTAAATTGGTAAAACGCGGTCTCTTTCCCTCGTCTCCTGTTATGGTCGCTTTGTAGTGGGTGATAAAAACCCAAGAGACTTAAAACTACACACAGTTGCGCATGGCTACTAGAGTCTTTTCTGTGATGGTAAGTGGAGAAGTTTACCGTTGCTTTAGCATCTCAAACACTAACTAAACCTCTCCATAGCATGAAGATGAACAGGAAGTGATCCTTACTAAAACAGATGAGTCTGGAAGAGTATGGCCTATGAACACCCCGAAAGAAACCCTGGATCTGAAAGCAAAAAGAACGAACAGAGGAAGGGTATGTTAGCATATGCTTTCATTTGCTAATTCACAATTCTGTTTTTTTCTTTTGAGTTTCTTTTTTATTAGACTAGAAATTTTTTGAAATGAAAACAATGGAAAGTAAAAATGTATCACTTTTATTCTTAGTTGTATCTTTTTACCTTTTACAAATGGCAAACAATTCAATTGTGTCTTCTTCTGTGTCTGAACATGAAACTCTTACCACAATATTTAATGTATATTTCTTTGATGTTGTGTTCAGTTTCTTTTGCATGTTTCCCATTTTGCACATAGAAAAGCTTGGCCCTGTTGACACCTAATTTGAGGCTTGAAAATAGTGTGTTCTCACTCAGCACCATCTTAATTAATTATGTAAGCCCTATGAGTTTTTAAGCACCCCATTTCTTTTCTGTCTTTCATCTGTGGCAATTAGTTTTCAGCACTATGTTGAATATTTGGGGAGGTGGTAAAAGCAACACATTCACTTCCCCTAAGTTACGTTTTCATTTTAAATTTGAAGATCATGTATGATAATTAAATATACAAATAATTGTTCGTTAGGGAATTTTATGTCAAATACTGTTTGCCTGTTGTGTGCCTATCCTGCTATAGCTACTAATTGATTTTTTGAATAATTAGAAATGAGAACAAAACTTCTAATGTAATGGGAGGACTGGGGAAGATATAGAGAAAAATAGAAGTTTGCATATATAAAATGGCAAAACTGACTAGGAGTCCATAAACACAGTCAGATGCCAGTTTGAATTGCATATTGCTGAACAATCTCAATAAATGATTAAAGTCAAACACTTAGTCATTCAGGGCTGGGATTTGCATTTTGAGCATAGGCCAGAGATTAAGTATGTAGGCCAGGGAACTCATAGCAAATGAGTTTCAGGTTGGCAAAAAAAAAATTTTCAAAATTATTGTGACTATTTTATCAGGCTGGCTAGCAAAAACAGTATGTCAGATTGGTGGCCTGGCTAGCAGAAATGAACTCTTGCAGTGCTGGAAGCTGGGAAGTCAAATGAAGGCACTGGTGGGTTACATCTGGGTTTACATTGAAGCATTCTTATGTTATTCTCACAAAGTAAAGAGCAGAGACCGAACAGGTGCTGTCAAGTCCTGATAGGATACTAATCTTATTCATGGTGACTCCACCTGTGATCATCCTGATTTCCTCTCCAAAGTCCTGACTCCTGGTGCCATCATATTGGGACTGTGACACCAAGTGAGTTGAGGGAGGGATACAAGCATTAGGCCTGTAGCAGTGGTCCTTCATGTCTGTTTATTGTATACTTATTTCCTATTTGAATACTGGCAGTCTTCCTTCCATAGCACTGAGTGTTAGTATTTTAAAAATGATGCCACATGCACGCAATAGATATTATATGGAAGAGTTTTTTGCTTGGAGGTAGGAAGAGAGAGGGAAGGAGAGAGACATGGTAGGGGAGGGGGCGCCCTGACAGAGAAAGGGGAGAGGGCAGAGAGGAGAGCAAGAAAGCAGGAGGGAGAGGGAAAGAGAGTGGCAGACTGGTTCACCTGAAGTACCTGGCCCAGATGATTCAGGCCCTGGCATAGGATGTTGTCAGGACCCTAAAGGTTCCTAAGGGCAGGCCAGTTGAATTGCCTGCACAACATAACAGTAAGGAATTTTAACCACAAGAAAAGCAGAGGAGAGAGAGGAAAGGACAGTTGTGATCTTTCTTCAAACTTGGCAGTCAACTAGTGTGATACTTCCTCCTGGGAGAGAAGACAGGGAAAGGGAAGAAGCGTGAATTGTAATGCAGACTTTGTTTCACATGGAAGTAACAGTTGTGATACCTGGTGGGATTTTGTACCTTTATTATGAGATTTATGGACTGTCCATTCAAAGCATCTGCAAAAACTTCATTAGTTCGCTTTGCTGTAGGTTCCAACCCATGAGGGTAAAGAAAGGATCCGATACTTTCCTGATGATGATCATCTGTGTCTCAAAGATTTAGTCAAGAATGAGAAGATGGGAACAGATACCAATCAAAACAGACTTTTCATGAGAATGGCATCTAAGGTAAGAGACTCCCAGCAAACCTTTGCATTCTGAGAAACTGATTTGTCAGTCTGATCATACATATTAAAGAGATCTGGTTGTCTCTAATCTTAGTTTATTTCATTAAATTGAACCTTTTTACATGGTACATCAGGAAAAGATTAGGGCAGATATTGTGTGACTTTTCCAATATTTTAAGTGAAAATAATTTTTTTTCATATACTTTGAGAACAGTTCTCCTTCACCTTTTCCCAGCTCTTCCCACCTCCCCATCCACCCAACTCCATGTTCTCTCTTTCTAGAAAACAGACAAATTAAAAAACAAACCAGAGTAAAACAAAACAAACAGGAAAAAACAACAACAAAAAAGCATGAGAAACACACAATCAAAACACAAAATTCAAAACCATAATATACAAGCAGAAGACCAGCAATGTTAAAGATGCAAAATAAGGCATTATGAGACAGAACGTCTCCAAACTTTCATTGAGTGGTTTCTGTGTTGGCCATCTACTACTGGGCACTGGGGCCTCCTTTCAGTGAGACTCCATTGTTTTTTCGTGCTGGCATTTAGCGCTTGAAGACTGCTCTGCGTTAAGGTGGGGCCTTATGTCCATTTCCCTTCTTGGTGCTTGTCAGACGCCATGAACATAGTGTGCCACCGTCTTGGAGTTTTGTACCGATTTCCTTAAGTATAAAATATTTCCTACCTGTTAAAAGACTTTTTATTGATACCAGATATGACAGTATTGTGGGCCTAAAGCTGCAGAAGAATTATATATGACTGATAAGCTGAGAACATTTGAGCATACCCCAAAGAAAAGGTAGTGGGACGAAGTCCAGACAATTGATGTGTAGGAGGCCATTTATGCTGTTCTCAGGTAAATGGAACCATGTTTCAGTTCTGTTTAGGTATCATTCTCACTTAGTTGGCAAGTCTATACCAGAATCAGTTCAGACACTATAAATAAGAGAAGATTGGCAGCATCTGGAAAGCTTATAAAATATGGAAGTGCTGTCTTTCATATACAGAACATAAACATCTCCTTTAATGATATAGGAACATTGTGTTATATCTAATAGGGCCATGATTTTATAAATGGAAGCATGTACTGTGTTGTTTTAGTATACTGTAGATAAAATAAATCCATTTGTTTTCTTCTCTCTCTTGTTCTATAGAATGTATTTACAGTATGTTAATGACACGTGCTTTAGAGATTGGGTTCTTAAGGAGAGAATGTTCTTTATGTGCCAGGCCCCTTCAGCTCAGTGGTCAGACAAATGTGGCTGACGTGGTGGCCACACCTATGATCTGAGCAATCATGAGGCTCAGACCAAAGGATCAAGAATTCAAGGCCAGCGTGAGCTACATAGTGAACCTCTATTAAAACCAACAAAAAATGTGTTCCATGTAGTCTTGGAACTTGGCAGTTGTTCCAAAGACATTTCTTGTTACATTCTAAACTCTTTAAAGTGGTTGGTATTTCTTTATAGCTCACAATGTCATCTGTCTATGTGAACATTCTGCACTTGGAAAAGCATTCACTGTCTTGCCAAGTGGGCCTCTCTCAGTGTTAATTAGATCAAACTGGTTCTGTATCAAAGTCTTCAGTATTTCTCTTGGCTCTCTTCTTATTCTAGTAATTATAAAGTGATGATTAAATCCCTGAATTGTGGATTATATTTCTCCTGCAGTACCATTGAGTTTTTGCATTATGTATTTTGAAATTATGTTACTAGGCACATAAATTTAGGAATGCTGGATTTTGAAGTGCATTTTTTTCTTTCTTTCTTCTTTTTTTTTTTTTTTTTTTTTTTCTTTTTGGTTTTAGAGACAAGGTCTCACTAGGTAGCCCTTGTTGGCTTGAAATGTACTATGTTGACCAGGATAACCTTGAACTCATAGAGACCCACCTGCTTCTGCCTTCCATGTGCCAGAATTAAAGCAGGAGCATTCTTTATTTCACAATCCTTGATTAAAAATATCCTTTTGCTTAAGTAGAGCTACTCCATCTTTAAATTGTTTTAAAGGTCTGCTAAGATAAAAGTATCTTGTATTGCTTTGTATTTGGTAGGTTTTTGTTTTGTTTTTAAAGTATCAGGAAGGTATGGATAGATTGAGCAGAAGATAATGCTGTCAAAAAGGAAAAACAAGCCTACAAACACTGAACACAGTGCTGTCTTTCTGAGACTGATGGGAATACTTTTGAGGGACACGGGTAATTGAAATTTCAACTGAATCTAAAGCTACAGCTGAAGAATGGCAGCGTAGAGAGACCTGGTCATAGATCATGTGCAAGCTGGAAGGAACAGTGCCTTGAAGAGTTAACATGTGCTTGCTAGAACATAGAGAGTGAATAGGTGTGGCCAGATGTGTTAGGAGTCACTGACTCTTGATTATGACAGTGGCCACTTTTGGTGCTGCGTCTTTGCTTATATCAACTGTGTGTTGTGAGGGTAACCCCAGCAGACAGACAGTGTCCTTGTGATCGTTGTAAAGTACGGAATCGAGAGAGTGCAGAGGGAGCAAAGAGCAAGCTCGGGGTTAAATAGGGAGGAGATGGAATTTTACTCTGTTTATTTTGACTGTGCAATCAAGCTTCCAATTGCTACAGCCTTTTGTATCTAGTATTTTCTAGTCTATAGCAGAGTTTGTATTTGTTCTTATATAGAACTCTTTAAGGATGTTAAGCAGAGACATAAAATATGTTTTTTTTTCTGTTTGTCCATATGTCAGAGGAGTAGAGATCAAATGGAACAATAATTACTTTTTATGTTTGTATGTCCTGTGTTTTCAAGTAGCTTAACCTCTGCATTTTGGCTTCCTTTTAGCTCAAGTGCACATAATAATGGTTTCCATATTATAATAGTACAAAACATGAATTTGTACTTAGAAAAGATTCAGTGTCTTTAGCTGTGATGAAGTTGATGGTGGCCTCAGTAATGATACATAGATTGATTTTCTTTTTCTTTCTTTCTTTTTTTTTTTTTTTTTTTTTTTTAGCTCAAGCTTAATTTTAACCATTTAAAAAATTATAGGCTGTGTCATAGTACTTATAAATAGGACTTTAGGATGCCACTATTCAATAAAATATTAACTACTGACTTCTATCACCCACTGTTATTATTTGGGTTTTTCAGTTTATGGGAAAATCAGATGGAGACTATTATACTTTGGATGACATGTTTGTCTCCAAAGCAGCTGAGAAGGAACATCTTGGTAAAGAGGAAGAGAACCAGAGGAGAAGAGCAATAGCTGAGCACCAGAGTCTTGCTGCACAAATGGCAAAATGTTTGTACTGTTTTGACAGCGCCCAGTTCCCTAAGCACCTTATTGTTGCAATTGGTGTGAAGGTAAGAAACAAAACACAGACAAGATGAAGTCACTTCATATATTCAGATACGCTTTTTCTTCAGATACTTTTGCTGTCTAAGTTAACATAGCTCTTAGGGTTTTTGATAGCATCAGTGTTTCATTGTTTTAGCCCATGCTGTATATGATCCTGTTCTGTTTAGAATCAGCTTCTGGCTCTGCTGTTTTTGAGCTTTATGACCTAATGATTGAATTGATTTCAGTGGTAAAATCTCCCCTCAGTGTCTTAATCCAAAGCAGCTTCCTTTTTTTTTTTTTTAATTTACCTCCTCATAGCATGTCTTTGATTTCTTATAGACTGTGTCACAGTTTGAAAACTTTATTAAAGTTACATTGTCTTGTTGGTTGGGTCATTCCTCATGAACTCATGAATGTAGAGAGAACCTTTGCTCACCATTGTATTCCAAGCATCTCATCTTCTTTATGTATCACTGTAATCATTTAAAGTATCTAATACGTATAGCAATAAAGACATGGGAGCCTCAAGAGGTAAAAACTTGCTAGCTCAGCAAGGTAACTTTACTTTCTGAATGATATACAAAATATCCATTTACAAGCCTGATCGACAGCCAAACTGCTAGTTCCTTAGTTTTACCTGATACTTGCCAGCTGCTGATTTATTATTCCTGCAAGCCCAAAGAGAGCTCTATCAAAGGTCCAGTTGCTTATCAAAGAAGTTCTGGCCCCTCCCCTACATCCTTGGCAGGCTGAGCATGTCACTGTTATGGTGTGGAGCTCCAAACCAGGTCAGAAGGGGCTAAACCATTTCATGTTTACTTGGGGTAGCTCCAGGCCACCCAGCTGACTGTGCCTTGGGTCATAGAGCAAAGACCACAAGACCTCTCATAAGCAACTTGGCCTAAAATAGGCAGGAACTTTCTATTCTTTAACACCCTTATCTATGAAGGCTTTTAGTGGCATAACCAAACTATCTCTTCAGGACACACCTAACTCTATCTGACAAATGCGGTATCTATTTAGGCTTTATATTTTGCTAACAATTAGCTTTTCTCTGTATAATAACTAAATATCCGGTAACATATCAGTGTCACTTATTTCAATAAATATGGTGTGTTGGTGACTGTTTTTTACATTGTATATATTAGTTTGTGGATGTGGTAGGTGCCAAATTTTAATTGTCATGAAAAAGTAAAGAATCAGGAAAATTGAAAAAAAAATTATTTTAGTTCATTTAAAGGGCTTTTTGTTTTTGTTTTTAGAGCACAATATTGGGATTTGAATCTAGGGCTCCACCTAGGCAAGTGTTCTTCTATTAAAATGTAATAAAATAAAGTTTGATTATTACCCTGATTCAAATGGCTATTGTCATAAAGTGAGGGATAAAATGATGGCGGGGCCTTATATTGGAAAGATTTCCTATAAGTCATCTCTGAGGCACCAGTGAATGAGAAGCTTTGGCAGGGAAGAGAAAGCCAAGAAGGCTGGGTGGCGCTCCTTTGATCCCATTACTTGGGAGGCAGAGGCAGACAAATCTCTCAGTTCCTGAGTGAACTGAGAGTCTACAGAGAGAGCTCCAGGACAGCCACGGCTACACAGAGAAACCTTGGTTTTTGTGTTTGCTGTGTGTGCATGGTTGTGGCTGTTGTTTGTATGTTTATTTATTTGTTTATAAAGTAAAAACCACTGGGACGGATTTGTGAGAATGGATGACTGAGGCTGAATGAATGAGTTCTAGCTTCAGGAACTAATAGTTTGGGGGGCATTTATTATATTTATTTATTATATAATATTTTATTTCTCATCATTTATTTATTATTTTTGTATTTATTATATTTCTCATCATTCATATACTACTTATTCATACCTCCTTCTATATAATAGGTAAATAACTTCAGGTTAGGTAATCATATATGTAAAGAAACAGATTTTTACCAGAGAGGTAAAGCTATCCTGGTCTTGTTTTCTTTCCCTCAGCTGGGTTAACTCAGTTTTCTCCCATAATGAGAGAAATTGCCTTATTGATACACATAATTTAAACAAAAAGAAAACAACTCTCCTCACAAAGGAATAAGAGCTAAGTATGAATGACCGTGGTCCAGGAACTTCAGTTTAGGTCACCCTAAGTTCCATGTTCCAGTCTCTTAAAAATTCACTGATGCTCTTAGAATAACAGAATAAGGAAAAAGAAAGAAAAAAAATCATGACACTTTGTATGTATTATTGAAAACACCAGGTAGGCAAGTTATTATAGAACAGCTGGGAAATCTCATCATTCTGAGGCTTCTTAGCTTTTGATTGGTAGAAGTTAGTGCTTTGTTGTATATTTTGGAAGTTTTACATATTGGTCACAGGAGTGTTACACAAAAAGGAGAGAAGTAAACGGCTTTTAAGGGGGCAAAAGGTTAAAGGTGGTCAGGGTAACATGGCTCTGGATTTGCAGCATGTTAGACTCTACAACAACTGGAGCTTTGGCCAGTTCATTAGCTCTAAACAGCACAAGATGCAGCTCATCAGGAATTTCCATTCATAAGGTTTACGTTGTCTTTTTATTTTTCAAAACAGTATGTTGTTTTCAGCATTTGTAAATATACAGTTACTTCAGATAAAAGATCAAGTGGCATTTGTTCTTGTTCTTTCTTGGGAAGTCTTAGTTTTTAATGTCTTTTATGAAAACTGAGACTTGTGTTCTGAATTTCTAGTTTTTTAGAAGCCATTTCCACGATGTTTTAAATGTAAAAACTATCTTTGAGAGTATTTAAAAGAGAAATAGTTTTTATAAACAAGTGTGCCATAATAAGTACCCATGATTTCACTACTGTAGTCTCATCTGTTACAGCTAAGACCAAATAATAACACATCACCATTGGAATTTTCCTCTAGGTTTATTTATGTTTGCCCAATTGTCGGTCTCTCACTGAGGGCCACTGCCTCATCGTTCCTCTGCAGCATCATCAAGCAGCCACTGTATTGGATGAAGATATCTGGGAGGAGATTCAGGTTAGTACTTCAATGCTCAGTGTCTACAAGACTTGTTTTGCAAATTATTATGATAAATTCAAACAGGTTTGATATTTTTACTTGACAATTTGTAGGTGTCTAGATCATATTTCTTTCTCATTATTTTTATTTTTGTCACATTCTCCTATTTTGAAATCTTTTGTTTATTAAACAAACTTTGAAAGTAATTACTTTAAAAAAGACAATTGGTCTCCAATAAAAAGGACACAGACTAACAGAATGGTTGCAGAAACAGGAACCAACCTTGTGCTGCATTCAGGAAACGCACCTCAGCAGAAAGATAGACAGTGCCTCAGAGTAAAGGGCTGGAAAAGGTTTTCCAAGCAAATGGAACCAGGAAGCAAGTTGAAGGAGCCATCCTAATATCTAATAAAATAGACTTTCAACCAAAGTTAATCAGAAGAAATGGGAAACAACACACCATTCTCATAAAAACAAAACAAAACAAAACAAAAAACCAAATCCACCATGAGGACATCACTAACCTGACCATCTATGCCTCAAATACAAGGGCACCTGCATTTGTAAAAGAAACATTAATAAAACTGAAACCACACATCAATCCTAAGACATTAATAGTGGGAGGCTTCAACACCCCACTTTCACCAAGGGACAGAAGCTAAATAGTGAAATAATGAAGCTTACAGAGGTCATGGATCAAATGGGCCTGATAGATGACTACAGAACTTTTCACCCAAACACAAAAGAATATACCTTCTTCCCAGCCCCCAGAGAACCTTCTCCAAAATTGACCATATAGTCAGGCACAAAACTTCAATAGATACAAGAAGATTGAAATAACCCCTTGTATCCTATCAGACCACCATGGTCTAAAGCTGGACCTCAGCAATTACAGAAATAACAAAAAGCATATACAATGCGGAAACTAAACAATCCTCTACTCAGCAACAACTGAGTCAGGGAAGAAATAAGGAAATTAAAGACTTCCTAGAATTCAGTGAAAATGAAGGCACTTAAACGTATAGGACACAACAAAATCACTGCTAAGAGAAAAGTTCATTGCACTAAGTGCCTTCAAAAAGAAATTTGAGACATCTTATACAAGCAACTTAACAGTACACCTGAAAGCCCTAGAAAAAAAAAAAGAAGCAGATACACCCAGGAGGAGTGGACAGCTGGAAAGAATCAAACTCAGGGCTGAAATCAATAAATTAGAAACAAAACAATTCAGAGAATCCATGAAACCCAGAGCTGGTTCTTTGAGAAAATAAGATAGATAAACCCTTAGCCAAACTAACTAAAAGGCAGAGAGACACTATCCAAATCAACAAAATCAGAAATGAAAAGGAGGACATAACGACAGACTCTGAGGAAATCCAAAGAATCATTAGGTCTGTCTTCAAAAGCCTATATGCCACAAAATTTGAAAATCTAAATAAAATGGACAATTTTCTTGATAGATTCCACTTACCAATGTTGAATCAAGATCAGGTAAATCAATAGTCTATATCCCTTAAGGAAATAGAAGCTGTCATCATAATTCTCCCATCCATACAAAACCCAGGGCCAGATGGTTTCAGTGCAGAATTCTACTAGATACCAATACTAATACCAATATTCTTCAAACTGTTCCACAAAATAGAAACAGAAAGAACATTACCAAACTCATTCTATGAGGCCACAGTCACCTTGATACCCAGACTATACAAAGTCCCAACAAAGAAAGAATATTTCAGACTAATTTCCCTTATAAATGTTGATGCAAAAATGCTCAGTAAAATACTCACAAACCAAATCGAAGAACACATCAAAGATACCACCCACCATGACCAAGTCAGCTTCATACCAGGCATGCCAGCGTGGTTCAACATAGGAAAATCCTTCATTGTAATCCACCTTATAAACAAACTGAGAATAAATAAATAAAAAAAAAAACCTACACACACACACAAAACCCTATGATTACCTCCTTAGATGTCAAAAAAGCTTTTGACAAAAATCCAACACCCGTTCATGTTTAAAATCTTGGAGACATCAGGGATACAAGGCACATACCTAAACATAGTAAAGATAAGATATAGCAAGCCTATACCCAACATCAAACTAAACGGAGAGAAATGTAGATCAATTCCACTGAAATCAGAGACAAGGCAAGGCTGCTCACTTTCTCCATATTTCTTCACTGTAGTACTTGAAGTCCTAGCTAGCGCACTAAGACAAATAAAGGAGAGCAACAGGATACAATCTGAAAGGAAGAAGTCAAAGTATCATTATTCGCAGATGATATGATAGTATACATGAGTGGCCCCAAAAATGTTACCAGAGAACTTCTTCAGCTGCTATACACCTTCAGCAAAGTAGCTGGATACAAATTAACTCAAAAAACAAAAACAAACAAACAAACAACTCAGTAGTCCTCCTGTACACAAAAGAAAAATGGGCTGAGAAAGAAATTAGGGAAACAACACCCTTCACAATAGCCACAAAAACATAAAGTATCTTGCTGTAACTCTAACCAAGCAAGTGAAAGAGTTGTGTGACAAAAACTTCAAGTCTCTGAAGAAATTTCAAGATGTCAGAATATAGAAAGATCTCCCATGCTCGTGGATCAATAGGAGTAACTTAATAAATTAGGAATAGTGCTACCTCAAGACCCAGCTATACCACTCCTGGACATAGACCCAAAATGTGCACCACCATACAAGGACATTTGCTCAGCTATACTCATAGCAGCTTTATTCGTAACAGACAGAATCTGGAAACAACCTAGATATCCCTTAATAGAAGAATGGATACAGAAATTTGTGGTACATTTACACAATGGTGTGCTACTTAGCTATTAAAAACAAGGAAATCATGAAATTTTCAGGCAAATGGATGGAACTAGAAAGGATTATCCTAAGTGAGGTAACCCAAAACCAGAAAGACATGTATGGTATATACTCACTTATAAGTGGATATTAGCCATATAATGGAGGATAATCAACTACGCAGACCAAAAGAAGCTAAATTACACGGAGGACCCTAGAAAGATGCATAATTCTCCTTCAGAAAGGCAGAGAGAATGGACCCTGGAAGTTGCTGAAGAGAAGGAGCAGGACAGGAGCCCACCACAGATGTCCTCTGAAAGACTCCACCCAGCGGGGGATCGAAGCAGTTGTGAAGACTGACACCCCAATTTTGTGAGAGTGTAGGGAGTCTTACTGAAGAAGAGAAGGATAAAAGGGCTCAGAGGGGACGGAAGTGCCACAAGGAGACCAACAAAGCCAAAAAAATCTGGACCTGTGGGTATGCAGAGACTGATGATCAACCAATGACTATACATGGAGAGGACCTAGATGTAGCCAATAGGCAGCTCAGTCTCCAAGTGAGTCTTCTAAGATGGGGAGCAGGGGCAGTCTCTGACATGAACTCAGTTTCCTGGTCTTTGATCACTTCCTCCTGGTGGGTGTCCTTACCAGGCCACAGAGGAAGAGGATCCAGGGGCTAATGATCTCCTAGGGTAAGATAGGGTAACATTGTTACTCCTAGGGTAACATTAGGCTAGGGTAAGATAGTAGGGAGGAAAGACTCCCCCTTTTCAGTGGACTAGGGAAGGGGAATGGGGGGGAAGAGGGAAGGAGGATGGGACTGAGAGGAGACAAGGGAGGAGTCTACATTCAGGATACAAAGTGAATAAATTGTAAAGTATAATAAAATAAAAAGTAAAAAAGACAATTGGGTTTCTAATTAGTGCTTTTTGCAGCTTGAGATTATCATTTTTATTAAATTGTAGCCAAAGAAGAAAGTTTCTGAGAATGAAAAGATGTGGAGTCAGGTGTCCAGGCAGCAGCCACTGCTGCCCCTGTTGCCATGGTGATTGTGCTCCCGTACCAGCTTCTGTTTTATCTGTTCCCTTCATAGCATACCCGGGTGCACTTCATAGCATGTCATGCCCTCCATGGCTCTGAAGTCAGTTCTGTGAGTCAGTTACACAGTTTTATGGCTGATGCTCTAACAGACTGAGAGCCACAGAATGGGTTAAATTGTTGCTGAGCTATTTCAAAACCTTACAATGCTTAAGAAGGAAAGGAAATTCTTATTTTAAGTGCTGTTACTTGTAGAGGTCACCTAGCACCCAGGTGAAAAATGTGGAATTGCAAGACTTCAGAAAAGAAGACAGTACATACTTGCTTTGGCAGACTACGGGTAAAGATTCCAAAAGAGGACATCGTTGCTTGCATTTTATGAAGTGTTTTCTATTTCTGTGCTTTTTAAAGTTGGTACTCCCAGAGCTCATGGGTCAATTATGTTGTTTCAAAGGCCAAACATAACTAAGAACGCAGACAAATTAATTTTGATGTGAAAAAAATACATATTTTCTAAAAGAAAGTAAAAAGTTTGGGAATTTAGTCTTTAGGTACTATTATAGGACTGTTCTGACGTGCTTTTAAAATTTTATGAAAAACTGATTTAATGGGATAAAATAGAGTGCAAAAAGTATTCACTTACATGAATCTTGTGTGTATGTTGTGTATTTCTGTGGGAAATTAAGATATGTGGTGAAAAGCTTTCAGGTGAGTAAAACAGTCCACTCGACAGTGAGCTCATGAATGTAATGGCATTATAGTTCTTCTTGGGAAAGGAAGGAGAACATTAGACATTCCACAGGGCTGAAAAGTGAGTGCAGAGATGTTTATACCAGTGAGGCTGAAATAGCACAGTTTTGTTTTGTTTTTCTTTTACTTCCAAATTTGTGTGACACTCAAATTAATTATACTCTGGTGACTATCCCTCTATTTATGCATCCATTTATTAGATATGTTTTGAAAAGTGATTTGACCTAACACAAAATATTGTTTGAAAATGCAGAAGTTCTTTTTCAGTCATTTTGTTTTTACATACTATTACTAATAACACTGGATTTAACCTTGGATCTTATATTTGGCAGAAAATGTAAAGATAATTCCGTCAAACATACTTGAGTAACTATAAATTGCAAATGAGAAAGATGCAAATGGTATAGTATTATTTTTTATGTTGTGCTCACAGAATTTTTTTTTCTTTAATGCAGTTGATCATCTCAAGTTATCCCATCTAACCCAGAGTTTTTCAGACACAAACTTTTGCAAATGTGGAGTTCTTGAATATATGGCTTTGGCTTTTTTCCCTTTTCTCTAGATGTTTCGGAAATCATTGGTGAAGATGTTTGAAGATAAAGGATTGGATTGTGTCTTCCTAGAGACTCATATGGGCATGAAGAAACGGTACCACATGGTTTATGAGTGTATCCCTCTCCCAAAGGAAGTGGGTGATATGGCTCCCATCTATTTCAAGGTATTTAAAAGCTGATTTTGTATAGATTCTTGTTTATATATTCACTTTGGGGGGATGTATTTGTAGTAATATATTCATTCCAAATTTTATATAAAAAGTGAGGTAAAGCATAAACTATTCAAAGCACATTTCTGTGTAAAGAATTTTGAGCTTTTTATTTAAGGAGGCTTAGAAGTAAATAAGCAACCTGGCGCAGTGGACACGCAAGTAATTCCAGCACTTTGGGGGCAGGGGCAGGCAGGTCTCTGTGAGTTCAAAGCCTGGTCTGCAAAGCGAGTCCTGGACAGCCCAAGCTACCCAGAGAAACTCTGTCTCAAAAAAACAAAACAAACAATAAAAGTGTAAGTGAGCTATAAAATACTGAATTATTTTAGTTTTTTTTTTTTGTTTTTGTTTTTGTTTTAGTGAAGTCAGTGTTTTACCATGAAGCACTTCCAAGTCATAACTCTATAAAAATGAACTCATTCAATTGTAAATAGGGAATAACAGCCTATATGATATATATGTATATGTGTGATTTTGCTTAATGTTAATTTCGCATTAAAATGTATTTCCTTAATTGTAACCACTAAAAAAAGATTTTGTAAATAATACCTCTACTACTTAGAAAATCTTAAAATTCCATTTTTTTTTATTTTTTTATTTTTTTATCCATGCTTTTAAAACATAAACTTTAGTTTGTATGGGATGAAATCACGTTTGGTAGGCACAAATCATATTCACTCTTCTGACGTTTGGAAGAATAGTAAAATTAAATGGATTTATATGAGTAGATTTCTAAGAATAAAAAAGAAATTTGTGAAATTGTATATTCACAGATGTTCTCTAAGATCACTTTTTGTCACATGAAGCGGAGCTGGTTACCACTCATGAAAAATGAGTAAAAAGAATACTGTCTCTGAGTAAATGTCAGGCTTCAAAAAGTCCAGTAGTTCTAGTTTTCGGTCTTCTGTTAAGGCCCCCCCTTAACCGTAGCCTGTGATGTGCACTGTGCCTGCATTAACTAAACAGAGAAACAGCGAAAACCAGTGTCTTTGTGTTGGCTCTTCTGTTGATTTTTGTTGTTGTTGTTCAATTACCTCTTTCTTAGAAAGCCATAATGGAATCTGATGAAGAATGGTCCATGAATAAGAAGCTGATTGATTTGTCTTCAAAAGATATTAGGAAGTCTGTGAGTAGTATTAAGATTTTCTAATATAAGAAATTACTGTTGTGTTGAGAATATTTGTGAAAGTCTACGTTTTGGTTGAGAATTAGGTTATTTGGCTGAGTAAGGGTGAAGTAGCTAAGAAGAAAGTGTGTTCATTCATTCTCCTTTGCAAAATGCTTATTTGTTTGTAGGGGATTTTGTGTGTTCAGACAAACCCTCCTTCCTGGCCCTCAGCCCTCCATTTTACCCCCATAATCAGATGTGGTGGCCACTGCACTCTGCCATGACAGCATCTCAGGAGAAGACATTCTTGTCACTGTATTATAATAAAAGATACAGTTGCGTATGGATGTTATTTTGAGTTTGGGACACTTTCGTTTTTTGTAATGTTCTGCCTTCCCAATCTCCCTTTCTCCCCACTCCATTTAAAAAGAAAAAAAAAAATGTGTGTGTATGAATCTGTGTGTCCTCACGTCCTCGCCGCCTACTGTGTTTGAGACAGGGTCTCTTATATGCTGCTTTATACACTAGGCTAACTGACACAAGCCTCCAGGGTCTCTTATCTCTGCATTCAGTCTTGCCATAGCAATCCTGAGAGCATAGATGTGCGCTACTACATCAAGGTTGATTGGGTTCTAGGGATCCCAATTCGTCAGGTCCTTCCACTTTATAGCAAGGATCTGCTGAACCATTTCCCTGGCCCCAAACTTACTTTTTTATATAGGCATTCCTTGCTACATTCTTAGAAAGTAGTAGCTGAGTTCGAGTGTGTATTTACCACTTCTTGGGGGATATATGTAAGTTTTGACTTGCAGGTTCAGTTTTTGATGCAATATAATAATTACCTCTATAATGACCATTCTTTTGTAGAATTAGAAATTAAATTGAATAGATATTTGATAGACATAGATTGCTTTTGAATTTACTTTTAAAAATAACTTAGTAAGTCTTTATTGCATGCCTGCCATTTATCAGCTCTGTTCTAAGCATGCTTATTATGTAGTAGACCAGAACAGAGAAAATGGAGCTTACTATAATGCAGGCTGTCAATTCAGCCCATATGCTAAACCCAGTCTTCCCTATGGAGTGGTTTGTTATTGTTGTTATATTTAAATACAGATGTACTGGCCCATGTATTACCTATGGAGGCTTTTCATGCTGCTAAGGGTTGAATAGTCTGAGATCAGATGACCTTCAAACCCTAAAGCATTTCAGCATGAACCCTTTTTTACAGAAAATGTATGGCCACTGCTGTTCAAGTAGATGTCACTGGTATATTTTCCTTTCACATCTAATGTTAAACACGTGGATGGTTAGCATGCTCTATCATACTAATAGTGCAGTCCAAACATGCAGATTTCGTAGAACTAGTGAAGGTTTAGGTTTTTTGGTGGTGGTGGTTGGCTGGTTGGCTGCTTTGTTCAAGACAGGGTTTCTGTGTAGCCTTAGCTGTCCTGGGCTCTCTTTGTAGACCAGACTGGCCTCAAACTCAGAGTGATCTCCCTGACTCTGCCTCCCCCGAATGCTGGGATTAAAGGCTTGCCCTGCCACACCTAGCTTTCTCCAAGGGATTTAGTGTTACAGCTCTCGTAGATGTTCAGTGAAACAGCTTATGTGTTTTATTCGGGGTGAATAAGAGCTGTTTGAATCGTGGGGGGTGGGGAGGGATTTTTGAGGGTGGGAGTATATCATTGGCGGGGGCTGAAATGCTGGGGATGCTTTATTTGCATGGAGAGAAATTCAAGTTGCTCAGCTACATGCCTACCCCGAGAGTCATAGCGGCGGCCTGTACCAGAACATGCTGGCTCAGAACAGGGAGGGAGCCATCCTGATCCCTGCAGGTCTCAAGACTGAGATTTCCAAGGTTTGGACACATCCCAACCTGACTCTAGTTCCATGCTGGTTTCCCCAGTGGCACATGTGCCCCCCACGGAGCTTTGACATATTTAGGGCCCCCGGAATATAATACAAAGGAAAAAAAAAAGAGTGCTGATACCATACACTTCTTCATGTTATTTCTCAAAGTATTGCCTGCTGCATGCCTGAGAGTCTAATTGGGTGGCCGTGTCTTTCCTTTGGTCCTTGGACAGCTTTGCACAAAGTATTTTTGCACAGGACATAGAAATGAAAGTAACTGTCTCCTATTCTCTGAAATTTGAGCCTGGGAGTTGCATATACCTCATTCTCTTGGATGTTCCCAGCAAATCTCAGAATGTTGCATGTTTGTCCTGAGACTCAAGTGTTGCAGAGCTGTCTGGCTTTATATACTCACGAGAATCAGAGATGTGCTTATAGCCTTATCTAGTTGTCCTGTGTTTTTTGTTTTTTGTTTTTTTTTTTTTTTTTTGATTGTTAAGGTCATGCATAACTATTACCTTAAAAATAGAGAACTATAGAAAATATGAATACATAAAGTACCATTTTTATGCTTATACTATTTGTAAACTGTTTTTTAAATTTGTGCTTTCTGTTGGCCTTAATTGTATTTGATTTATAATGCTTCAAGAAGACTTCTGTGTTCCTACCAAACAGCACTACACACTCTATAAAGTTGTGCCTTCCCAAGTACTCAAAACCAAATGTGTGCAGTTAAGTAGGAACACTGGGTCAGTGTGCAGAAGAGTCATGCTGATTGTGTGGTCGTGTTAGAGGGAAAGCTTACTGTATAGTGACCAACCTGGAGAATTTCTAGTGATAAACGTTGGAACGTAGAAGAAAAACTTACAGAGATACAAAATCTATTTAATGATAGGGAAGTAAGAAATTATAGCTCTTTCAATCAGTATGGAGATTAAAACTGTATGTGTGTGTTTGTAGAAAGGGAGAAAGAGAAGGATAATAGAGAGCTGATCCCAAAGATACTGTGAAACTAACTTGATAAACTAAATATTGCTATATCTACTTCACCAGTTAGTGAGATAAATAAAAATATAAACTTATTTATGTTTGATAAGTATTATCATAGTAAAGATTTTATGCACCTACCAGCATATCCATAGATATATGACCAAGCTTCCTCTTCCTAAGTAAAATATGAAACCATATCTTTATTTGTGTAATCATAGAAAAAATATCCCTTCGCTACATAAGAATATTTTAATGCTTTTTTTTCTATTATCTCCAAGAACAGGAAAGTATTTGCTTTGATTGTGAATGACTAGACTTGAAGATCTGTCTTGCTGAAAGGCTATCAGAGTGAACTCTGTGGAAAGTTAGGTCATCAGAATTTTGCCATGTAGATTATTCGGATGCATGATTAGTTCACTGATGACAGAGAATCAGAGCAACAAGTACACACAGCTTTTCCATTTCACGTGTGATTTGTTTGTTTACCTAGGTGCCCAGAGGCTTGCCTTACTTTGCTGTAGACTTTGGCCTTCAAGGAGGATTTGCCCATGTCATTGAAGATCAACACAAATTTCCTCATTACTTTGGAAAGGTATATTCACAAATTTTATAAAACCTTGAATTTTAGTGGTTTGGTTAATACTTCCCTTGTGAAAGAAAATTAAAAGTTCGGGTACAGTGTACAAGAAATTGATGAGTTCTTCTCTATATAAGCTTTAAAGAGAGAGAGAGAGAAGTTAGGAAGTAACAATAAAAATATCAGAATATTCATGACAGAGTTAGAGATATCATTGTGTAACCGGACATTTTTGGTAGTGGGCATTTAGTAACTGTTTTCCTTTGGAGTCAGGCAACTTTGTCCTGAAAAGTGCTGACAGTTGCTAAAATTTATTCAGGGCTTTACAGTGTGCCTCTCTACTGTTCTAATCAGTCATCCGGTGCTCACAGCAGCTCTGTTGTTTAGATTTTGGTGTAACATTTGTTATGCAGGTAGAAAAAATCTAAACTGCAGACAGGCTGTGTAACTTGCCTAGAGTTATATGCTAAGTGAGAGAGCCTGGCACCACAACCTATGGTGAGTGCAGAGGGTAATGGCTTCATAATGGCTTCAGCTCTTCCTTTACACTTAAGGTACAAACCAGGAAAAATAAATGACTAATTTCACAGTTAGGTTCTGGGCACATATGAAAGTCTCAGTCTTGTTTTTCATTGCTGAGTAGTATTCCATTGTGTAAATGTACAATTTCTGTATCCATTCCTCAACTGAGGGACATCTGGGTTGTTTCCAGGTTCTGGCTATTATGAATAAAGCTGCTATGAACATGGTTGAGCAAATGTCCTGGTGTACTTGAGCATATTTTGGATATATGCCTAAGAGTGGCATAGCTGGATCTTGGGGTAGCACTATTCCTAACTGTCTGAGAAAGTGCCAGATTTCTTTTGCCAGAAAGCGCCAAAGTGGTTGTATAAGTTTACATTCCCACCAGCAATGGAGGAGGGTTCCCCTTTCTCCACATCCTCTCCAGCATGTGTTGTCACTTAAGTTTTTGATCTTAACTGTTCTGATGAGTGTAAGGTGATATCTCATGGTCATTTTGATTTGCATCTCTCTGATGGCTAAGGACATTGAGCATTTCTTTAAGTGTTTCTCTGCCACTCGTTATTCCTCTATTGAGAATTCTTTGTTTAGCTCTGTACCCCACTTTTTAATTGGATTACTTGATTTGTTGCTGTTTAACTTCTTGAGTTCTTTATATATTTTGGATATTAGCCCTCTGTTAGATATAAGGTTGGTGAAGATCCTTTCCCAATTTGTAGGCTGTTGTTTTGTTCTCACTACAGTGTCCTTTGCTTATACTCCATCCAAGGACCGTGGAGATAACCTAGAACCCCTACACAGATAGAGCCTGTGGCAGCTCAGTCTCCAAATGGGCTTCCTAGTAAGGGGGTCAGTGGCTGGCTCTTTGATCACCTTCCCTTGATGGGGGAGCAGCCTTACCAGGCCACAGAGGAAGACAATGCAGCCAGTCCTGATGAGACCTGATAGACTAGGGTCAGAGGGAAGGGCAGGAAGACCTTCCTATCAGTGGACCAGGAAAGGGGCATGGGAAGACAAGAATGAGGGAGGGCAGAATTGGGAGGGAATTAAGAAAGGGGCTACATCTGGAATACAAAGTGAATACACTGTAATAAATTTTTTCAAAAAATTTTTAAAAAAAGAAAAAATAAAAAGGAAAGTCTCAGTCATTTGATTGTCAGTAGTTTCTTTCAGGGAAGGAAAATAAAATGGCTTCCTAAGAGTAGATTCCTTAAATTAGAGGTCTACTTACTAAATGTCTATAGATTCATGTTGATAAACTAGAATGAAATTAATGCAACATTTGAAATTGGCAAAATGAATCTGGGTCTAGCTCAGGCCTTCTTGTACTACCTTTTCTGCTGTGCCTTAGTGAACTTTTCTGAGAGTTCACAATTGCCCACCCTTCTTCCCTCTAGATGTAGCTCTCATCTGCCTGAGGTCATGGTCTACAATAAATAGGATGTGCCGATAGGAAGGAGAGCTCTTATTTGGATCCAGAACTTACTATGGTCTTTAATGGGTAGTCAGATTCCAAAATCACAGACATCTTTGAATTATCCCATAGCCCAGGCTGGCCTTGAACTCACCACATTGCTGAAGATGTCTTTCTGATTGCTGAGTTTCTAGGAGTGTACCATCACACCTATCTGTATGTAGCCTTGGGGATCAGATCCACACTTTCATGCACATCAAGCTCACACTCTGGCACTCCACTGAGATGTGTCCCCAGCCCTGTTTGAGATGTTTACAGACTTTTTTTTTCCCTGCTTTGTTAACAAAAACAAAACAAAAAATAACTTTGTTTTCACTCCTGTGAAAAAACCTATTATTATTTCCTTAGAGGTTTCTACTTCTGATGTCCATCCTCTTTGCCTTTCAGGATCGGGATTGAGCATTTTAGTCAGAGTCCTCCCTCTTGATTAGTTTCTTTAGATGTGCAGATTTTAGTAGGTTTATCCTATATTACATGTCTATGTGAGTGAGTATATACCATGTGTGTCTTTCTGCTTCTGGGACAGCTCACTCAGGATGATCCTTTCCAGTTCCCACCATTTATTTGCAAATTTCATGATTTCCTTATTTTTCATTGCTGAGTAGAATTCCATTGTGTAGATGTACCACAATTTCTGTATCCATTCTTCAGTTGAGGGGCATCTGGGTTATTTCCAGCTTCTGGCTATTATAAATAAATCTGCTACAAACATGGTTGAGCAAATGTCCTTGTTGTGTACTTGAGCCTCTTTTGGATATATGCCTAGGAATGGTATGGCTAGATCTTGAGGAAGCGCTATGATTTCTAACTGTTGTATTGTTGTTGTTTATTTTGTTTTTCGAGGCAGGGTTTCTCTGTGTATCCCTGGCTGTCCTGGACTTGCTTTGTAAACCAGACTGGCCTTGAACTAACAGAGATCCACCTGCCTGTGTCTTCCAAGTACTGGTATTACAGGCATGCACCATCATACCTGGCTTTTAACCATTCTTTAGATCTGGATTCATAGTTTTAAATTTTTTTTTCTAGAGAAAAGGACATCACTAACCCATCGTTTTAGTTTTTAAATTTTCACTGGGAGAATTGCCTCCCCTTGAAATATTACTCATGTATTGTTTATGGCATGCATTTTTAAGATTGAACATGTGGTTTCCATGTGTCTCAGAAGTTTAGATCCTTCTTTGTCTTGTGGCCTAAGCAAGTGCTTGGAGAACAAGAGGAAGTTTCAGAAATGGACTCTTTGCAGTAAAGGAAAGAGAACCCATTTTGTACTGTCCCATAACACATGCAAGGGTCTAGAGACAGTTTTCAACAGATACAGACTTTCTCATACTATACTGTTTAGATGGAGTGATGCCTGGAAACTTTCATGAAATCTGAATTGTCAGTTTCTCCTGGGGCCATTTACAGTGTACTTTCTTAATGATAGGTGGTTCCCTTTTTTGTTTATCCACAAGTAGGACATATGTTTGTTTATTTGTTTGTCTTATGTGTCTTAATGGTCTGCTTTACCAGTACCCTTTCCCATTGTACAGCTGACAATGTATTATTTTGGTTCTCACTGCATCTTTACTGACATATTATCTTTATGACCAAAGAATTGAAAGTTTGCTTTCTTCCTTTTGCTACCATTAGATAGATATGCTAATGAGCAAACAAGCCAACAAATTACTTCATAGGAGACACTACAGGGACTCACAGAGTTTGCAGTTAAGATTGGAAATAAGGTTTATTTTACTTGAAACTAATACGAAATATTTGTACATTGTCACAAAGAACGACTTAATATTGTATTTACTAGATAATATGTGAATAGTTCCATTCTTGATTGCATTGTATTTTATAATGTAAATGTTCATATTTTTCTTACTCTTTAAAAGGAAATCATTGGTGGTATGCTGGATCTAGAGCCCAGGCTCTGGAGGAAGGGGATTCAGGAAAGCTTTGAGGACCAGAGGAAGAAAGCGTTGCAGTTTGCTCAGTGGTGGAAACCGTATGATGTCACCAAAAGTAAAAGCTGTTAAATGTATGTCATGCATCATTTCCTCTGCTGAGCCCATTCACGTTATGCCAGTTACTTCTACAAATAACTGTGCCTTGGGCCCCAGGGAAAGCAACAGCAGTGGCGCACTCTCATTATGACATCCACATGGGTCAAGTTGTTTTTTAACTTGACTCCTAGGGACTTGATTTGGGTGATTGTGGAGTAACAGCAAGTATATCAAGATTATCGGCTCACATTCCTTTCTGTGTCTACTTCTGACTGTTCCAAATTACTCGCTTACTCTAGAGAAGGAGTTGTTTCTGGAGGTCTAGCATGGCTTCAGGGGAAATTGGGTCTGCTTCCAGGTAGAGTATGTCACCTGGTCTCTTTAAAATAATACTGGGTGTGTGCAGTACTAATTGAAATTTATTTTCATGGTTTTATAGAAGTTTCTTTTTATTTTTTACTAGTAGCATATATCATATAGTGATAATATATCACTATAGTATCTTCACTAAAAAGGATTAAAGGATTAAATGATAATGAAAATATGCGTTTTTCATTTTTGGACTTTTAAATAGTCTGAATTTTGGTAATCTTAAAAGTGATTATTTTAAGTAATTCTCAGTTGTTTGGGGTTCATGTAAAGCTAAAGTCTGTAGCCAGATCACTGCATCGGGTATTAATGTCTCAAATGTTAAAGGTGTTAAGTATCGGGTTGTTCTCGTGTTTCTACTTGATTAAATGCACTTACGTTTTCTTGTTTTAAACATTTGGTTTTGAGAAAGCCTTGTATTTGAAAACTATGAATTGTAGTAAGTCTTTAACATGTTTTTAAAATGTGACATTTGTTATAAAATGCTAATACTTAGAATCAGTAGGAAGTGTGCTCCAGGGTACCTCATGTTTAATGGCAGCTTGTCACTGTTTCCATGTTTGTTCTTTGTATACCACAAAGGCAACTGATTTTTGTTCTTTTCAAATTTTACAAATATGTTGAAGCTTAATGGTTTTAATCTTCAATAATTATAAGTTACATCTAAGTGTGTATATGTACATATCTAGACATTTGGTATCAGAGTCTTTTCACTGTTAGCTTTGCATTGAGTCTTATGTTCATTTTTTAATCAGTGAGTTAAAACATTTAATTATAGAGTACTATTTAAGGTTGATAGTTCAAAAAATATAAATACTCCTGCCCCAAATTCTACTGAATCTGTAGCATGTCTATCCCAACTGAACTCTTGGTTCCAGTTGCTTCTTGATGTACAATCAATTCCTCAAAACCTCAATGGCTTATAATAGTAGCTATTATCTTATAACTTATAGTTAGGGATTTTAATGATTTGCCTTTACATTATGATGTCTAGGCCCTTGGCTAAAGTGGTTCAAAAATATCTGGAGATGACGGGACTCGTGTGTGGAAGGACGTCTGTTCTTTATACTGCAAATGTTGGTTCTGGAATATTCTCTGTGGCTTTGTCTCTTACCTGTCTAGTGTCTGGGCTGAGGACCAGCTGGGTATCTTCTGGTCTCATATGTTCAGATAGTTGGAATTCCTCTCTTCCTTAAACTCCCCAGAGTAACTATTCCAAAGGAAAGCTCTAAGAAGTGGGACGTGCCAGCCCCCCAGGGCAGAGCCCAGATTCTGATACAGCTTGATATTTCTGTGTCATGTTTGCCAAACTTAACTTAAAGCCTGCCTACATCTAAGAAGATGGGAGGGTTGAGTATGCTAGTACAAGCCTTTTTTTTTTTTTTTTTTTTTTTTTTTGCTTCTTTAACATTTGGTCTTTATTTAAAAAGTTTCTTACACAATGAAATATTTGGATTATAAAATATAATGGATAAAAATTATAAGAAGACGTGAAAAATATTTTTGTTTTTTTTTCTTTTCTTTTTGTTTTATTTATTTATTTATTTATTTATTTTTATTTTTCTTTTTCTTTTTAGTTACAATTTGTTAACTCTGTGTCCCAGCTGTAGCCCGCTCCCTCATTCCCTCCCCCTTCCCAGCTCCCTCCCTGGTCTCCTCCTTGCCCCTTTCCAAGTCCACTGATAGGGGAGGACCTCCTCCCCTTTCATTTGACCCTGTTTTATCAGGTATCTTCAAGGATGGCTGCAAAGCCTTTAATTCCCACACTTGGGAGGCAGGCAGGTCTCTGTGAGTTCAAGGCCAGGCTGGTTTACATAGTCAATTCCAGGTCAGCCAGGACTACATAGAGATCTAATCTCAAACAAAACAAAATGCTTCTGGGAGGATATTGGGGAGGGGTGCAGGTTCTAGCTGAGACCAGCAGGGGTCATGGAGACTGAAGAGGACACCCTCTAACTAGACAAGACTCCTATTCAGAGGGGGAGAAGAACGCAAACCCACCCACAAAAATTTCAACTCAAAATTTACCCTGCCTACAAGATGTGCAGAGAAAAAGGTAAGGCAGAGATTGAAGGAATATCCAACCAATTCCTGGCCCAACTTGAGACCCACGTCATGGGAGAGAGCCAACCCCTGACACTACTAAGGTTCCTCTGCTATGCTTGCAGGTAGAAGATTTAGCATAACTGTTCTCTGAGAGGCTCCACCCAGCAGTGGATCAAAACAGTTGCTGAGATTCACAGCCAGACACTGGGGGAAGCAAAAGGAGTTTTGTGGAAAAGGGAAGAATAGAAAGACTTGGAGGTGAAAGGAGCTCCATAAGAAGACCAACAAAAACAGCTAACCAAGGGCCCATAGAGGCTTGCAGAGACTGAAGACCCAACCAAGGACCTGTGCATAGACTGTTCCTATTCTACACAACTGTAGTCAGTGGGCAGTACCGGCTTCGTATGGGTGCCCTAGTAAGGAGAGCCAGGGCTGTCTCCATAGTGGACTCTTTTGCCTGCTTTTTGATTACTTCCCCCTGGCAGAGCTGCCTCCCCAGGCCAAGGGGAAGAAAATGAGCTCAGTCCTGTGCAACTTGATGAGCTGTGTGTTTGGGGGGGGGGGATCCCTTTTTCTGAGAAATGGGGAGGAGGAGAGGAAATGAGGGTGGGACTGGAAGGAGAGGAGGGAGGGGACTATGATTAGAATATAAGGTGAATAAATTAATTAAAAACAAAGGAGGGGGTCATAGTAGGAGAAATATGTAATCATGTAAACTCTTTAGTTTTTTGCAATTCTCTGTGTACAAATTTACATTTCTCTCCTGTTTAAAAAACAAACAACAAAAACCTCCTGTGTTCAAATTCTCCTAAGAAAGCATCATTGTAGGGAGGTTTTAGGCTTATGCTTATGGTTCAGGGTCTCTCCTAAAGCAAGACGGAGGTAAAGAGCTACTGAGGTGTTTTTCCATTCAACCTGAACACCTGTATACTTGAAGAAGCAAATCTCCTCATGCACATATGCCATTAAACCTACAGCAGTGAGAGAAGCATATGTCAGTGCAGTATGCACAGTCTTTGAAGAGGAAGGAAGGCAGTTGGGAGAAATGTGTCAGTCCATATTCTCAAGTGAGTCTAAAATTAAGTTGGGCATATGTTACTGTCTTCTGTATTAGAGCCTCAGTCTGTTCTTAAGAAAAGTCTAGCTCTTTCCTCTATTCTTTCTACTCTTAAATTAATTAGCTGAGTTGACTTTCCTTATGCATAAGAAATTGTTCAAGAATTATGTCTACCCTTACAAAGATGTAGCAGATTGGCAGTTTAGGCTTCAAGTGGGCATTTTAGTAAGGGAAGTAGGGACTGCATTGGACATGGACTCACCAGCTTTTTTATCACTTTCCCCTGGCAGGACTGCCTTGGCAAGCCACAGGGGAAGAGGACATGTTTAGTCCTGATGCAACTTGATGAGCTGGGGTGGATGGGAAGAGGAGAGAGGAAGGGAGAGAGGGTGGGACTGGGAGCGGATGAGGGAAGGGGCTAGAAGGATGTAAAGTGAATAAGATAAACGGGGGGAAAAGAGAATTATGCTTTGAGGAAAGATACTGTGATTGTATTTCCCACCTGCCTAAAACCACCACCAGATGACGTAAATCAAACCATGATTTCCAGGTAAAGAGAATCGGAATCATAGAACAAAGTTCAGTGATTGCCGAGAAACAGGAAACAAGTGAGATGATTTCTTGAAATCCCTGTCCTTCCACTTTGAGTATATCCATGCTTTGGTTCAAGGTGGGGGACACAGGAAAAGCCTATTGCATTATTCCACTGAAGAAAAGCAGGTCTGAGCACAGCCCTAGACCATAAGGCAGTTACTTAAGGAGAGTTTGCTGAACAGAGATCTGCAGGGAGCCATCCTTCAGGCTATGTATGAGGCTTTCTTTGGCTAAAGATTAACATGCTTGAGAGAGTTACCAGTAACATTTCTTATTTGCTAGAATGTAAAATGTCATAATTTCCTGGGAATTGTGGAGACAGGGTTAGCACATAGCATAAAATAATAGGTTTGGAAGTTTAGAATTATTACTTCCAGTCTAAGTACTGATCTAGTTTTGAGAAGCAGATCTTAGAAGTAAGAGTCATTGGTGTCAAACTGTTTCCAAGCAACTTTTTTGCTGCCTAGAACAAAGCTCAAAATATTAACATAAAAAATATTTTTATTAGAACACATTGAAATGTCTAAAATCCAATGAAATGAAAAACAGCTATACTTAGCACCCTACTTGCAACTGCTTGGGAAAAAAAGAGAGAGAGAAATGTCTTTTCTTAGAAGATACTGTAATGATTAAACAACAACAAGGAGTTTATAGCATCCAAAGGTACAATCACAAAAAGAAGTGAAGGTGTGTAAAGGGGAGGAATGGAAGTATGTACTGTTAGAAGATTGCTGCTCTATTCTTGAGGTGTTAATAACTTAAATGTAGACTTTGATAAGTTAAAAATACGTAAATATAATTTCAAAAGACGTTCTTAAGATTAAAAGGAAAGGATAGTTGAAAAAGCCAATAAAGAAGATGGTATAACCCAGCTACAAAACCTTCAACCTACAGTTTGTCTTTCCATGATGTGCTGGGGTAAAGGTTGTACAGAAATGGTGGGAGCGGCCAACCGATGACTGGCCCTGTTGAGACTCCTGCCAGGAGAGGGAGCCCACCTCTCTCATTGCCTAGAGGGCCAGAGACTTAGAGTAGAACCAGCATGTACCAAAAATAATAATAATAATAGATGATTCCTGATGATATTTTGCTATGTAGCCAGGAGCCTGACATAATCACCATCAGAGAGGCTCCATCTAGCAACTGATGGAAACAGATGCAGAGGCCCACAGCCAAACATTAGATGGAGTGCAGTGAATCCTATGGAAGAAGGGGAAGAAGGATTGTAGGCACCAGAAGGGTCAAGGACACCACAGGAAAACCCACAGAATCAACAAACCTGGACCCAGTGAGGCTCACTTAGACCGAGCCAGCAATCAGGCCTTCGTGGATCTAACGTAGGCCCTCTGTGTATATAGTTGTGGAGCCTGGTGATTTTGTGGGACTCCTGACAGAAGGAGCAGTGCTTTTGCCTGCTTTGGGGACCCTTGTCCAGCTGGTTTGCTTTGTCCAACCTTAATGTGAAGGATGGTGCCTGGTCTTAACTGCAGCTTGATATGCCGTGTTTGGTTGACATCCCCACGAGGCCTGCGCTTTTCTGATGGGAAATGGAGCAGGAGTTGATTCAGGAGTGAGACTGTGGTCTGGATGTGATATATGAAAGAATAAATTAATAAAAATAGCCAAAAAGATGAGATAAAAATAGAAAGGAGAATAGAAAAGCAAAGTACAAATGGGAGAGATAGAAAAAAAAAAAATCTAACCCTCATACAGCAATAACTTTCTGTTGCTGGGTAGCAAATTTCCACAAAGCTAGCTGCTTGCAGCAACGTGGCTTTTTGATCTCACAGCGTCCGTGCCAGGATGTCAGGCATGCTTAGGGAAGGTTGTGGTCATTGCCAGCCAGAACAGGCTCTTCAACTGTGCTGCACTGGGAAAAGATCTACTTTTCCAGGCTGTTGGCCAGCTTTTATATGACATTGAAAGTTCTCCATGTCATGTTTCCCAATGTGGCTGCTTGCTTCTTCATAGCCAATAAGGTATCAGAGGAATCTGTTAAGATGGTCACCAAAGGTTTATGTATATAGTAAGGTAATAACAAGACTTGAGCAAGATCACATATATATCCTGTCACCACTACTATGTGTTATTGGTTGGAAGCAAGACAAATTCAAGTTCAGTATGACTCAGTA